CGTTTGTATTACGAGCTCCTGACTGTCTCAATTTGTATTCGGTGATTATGGCTGTTTTGGCACTGTTCCTTGGCTTTAATGCAGTGGATGCTTTGGGTCACTATCTCGCCGGAAGATAAATGTTTCTTCAGGCCTCGATTTTATTGCTGCTCGGGTTATGATGCAGTCCACGGCGCAGTTAATAAATTCTAAGTGCTCTGTACCAGCGTTCTCCATAAAGCTAGTATGCTGCCTCTGTGCTTTATGATTCCACACAGATTGTTGCATCCCCTCTAATCTATCTCAAACGTTTATCAGAATTTTATGTTTCTATCGAATGAAGAGACCATTTGAAATAGTAAACATTGATATATTCGCATGAGTAAACACTATTTGAAAATATTATTTCATTTAATGTTTAAATATTAGTTCGTTTAATATTTAAATGAATTACTATTTTATTGAATGTTTAAATGACGAAAAAATGCTATTTGTGTTTTCAAATGTGGAAAATAAGACAGGAAAATAATGTTTCATCGAACAGTAATATTTCACTAAATATTATTTGAAATAATGGTATTGCAACTAATAGTGTTGCAAGGAAGAGGTTCTTGTCCTTTATTTTATTATATTTTTGTGTTTTATTATTTGTGTAAATAGCTGGAAACATTAAAATTTTTAAAACACAAAAATATAATAAAATGAAGGACAAAAACCTCTTGTTTGCAATACTATTAGTTGCAATACCATTATTTTAAATAATATTTAGTGAAATATTACTGTTTGATGAAACATTTTTTTTTCCTGAATTTTAACGAAATGATTGGTTCACAATTACTATTTCCATATGTAATTGCATATAGTGGGGAATAAAAATATTTACATAAAAATATTTCGATTTACTATTTTTGAGATGACTCTGAAAAAGATTCATTAAAACATATTTCCAATAAAAGTCATAGTTCATTAAAGCTTCATTATATTTTTAAAATACATACCCATAACATTTTACTAGTTTTATTAAAATCTCCAGAGTATAATTTCCCTCGTACGAGGGATGTGCCTTTGAATATGAAGGTCCACGAAAAAATCCACCGTGGTATAATAAATTAAGCTTTTGAAATGCGCAATATTTCCACGGGGCACGCTAATGCACAGAGAGGAACCTTTCAACATTAAAAGGCCGAATGTCGCCTCGCGGAATCCTAATAATGCATCCTAAAAATTCAGAAATAACAAATAAAAATATTAAATCACTAATGGACTTTTTTATATGGTTATGCAGGTACATTTTGGCTGAAAATCAAATTTTGGCGACTGTGGCCACCGTGGATAATTGGTAAAACAGAAAAAATGGCGAAAATTTTTAATAATGCATCCTAAAAATTCCTAATAAAATCATAATTAATAAATAACAAATTTTAAATCACTAACGGAATTTTTTAGATGATTATGCAGATAAACTTTGGCTAAAAATCAAATTTATTCAACTATGGCTACTGTAGATAATTGACAAAACATAAAAAATGGCGGAAATTCCTAATAATGCATCCTAAAAATTCTTAAAAATTCACAACTAACAAATAACAAATTTTCAATCACTAATTCAATTTTTTAGATGGTTATGCAGATAAATTTTGGCCAAAAATAAAATTTACCCGACTGTGGCCACCGTAGATAATTGGTAAATTATAAAAAATGGCGGAAATTTCTAATAATGGATCCTAAAAATTCACAACTAACAAATAACAAAAATTTTAAATTATAAAGAGATTTTTTTAGGTGATCATCCAGATAAACTTTGGCTAAAAATCAAATTTATTCAACTATGGCTACTATAGATAATTGACAAAACATAAAAAATGGCGGAAATTCGTAATAATGCATCCTAAAAATTCTTAAAAATTCACAACTAACAAATAACAAATTTTCAATCACTAATTCAATTTTTTAGAAGGTTATGCAGATAAATTTTGGCTAAAAATAAAATTTACCCGACTGTGGCCACCGTAGATAATTGGTAAATTATAAAAAATGGCGGAAATTTCTAATAATGCATCCTAAAAATTCACAACTAACAAATAACAAAAATTTTAAATTATAAAGAGATTTTTTTAGATGATCATCCAGATAAACTTTGGCTAAAAATCAAATTTATTCAACTATGGCTACTGTAGATAATTGACAAAACATAAAAAATGGCGGAAATTCGTAATGATGCATCCTAAAAATTCTTAAAAATTCACAACTAACAAATAACAAATTTTCAATCACTAATTCAATTTTTTAGATGGTTATGCAGATAAATTTTGGCCAAAAATAAAATTTACCCGACTGTGGCCACCGTAGATAATTGGTAAATTATAAAAAATGGCGGAAATTTCTAATAATGCATCCTAAAAATTCACAACTAACAAATAACAAAAATTTTAAATTATAAAGAGATTTTTTTAGGTGATCATCCAGATAAACTTTGGCTAAAAATCAAATTTATTCAACTATGGCTACTGTAGATAATTGACAAAACATAAAAAATGGCGGAAATTCGTAATGATGCATCCTAAAAATTCTTAAAAATTCACAACTAACAAATAACAAATTTTCAATCACTAATTCAATTTTTTAGATGGTTATGCAGATAAATTTTGGCCAAAAATAAAATTTACCCGACTGTGGCCACCGTAGATAATTGGTAAATTATAAAAAATGGCGGAAATTTCTAATAATGCATCCTAAAAATTCACAACTAACAAATAACAAAAATTTTAAATTATAAAGAGATTTTTTTAGGTGATCATCCAGATAAACTTTGGCTAAAAATCAAATTTATTCAACTATGGCTACTATAGATAATTGACAAAACATAAAAAATGGCGGAAATTCCTAATAATGCATCCTAAAAATTCTTAAAAATTCACAACTAACAAATAACAAATTTTCAATCACTAATTCAATTTTTTAGATGGTTATGCAGATAAATTTTGGCCAAAAATAAAATTTACCCGACTGTGGCCACCGTAGATAATTGGTAAATTATAAAAAATGGCGGAAATTTCTAATAATGCATCCTAAAAATTCACAACTAATAAATAACAAAAATTTTAAATTATAAAGAGATTTTTTTAGGTGATCATCCAGATAAACTTTGGCTAAAAATCAAATTTATTCAACTATGGCTACTGTAGATAATTGACAAAACATAAAAAATGGCGGAAATTCCTAATAATGCATCCTAAAAATTCTTAAAAATTCACAACTAACAAATAACAAATTTTCAATCACTAATTCAATTTTTTAGAAGGTTATGCAGATAAATTTTGGCTAAAAATAAAATTTACCCGACTGTGGCCACCGTAGATAATTGGTAAATTATAAAAAATGGCGGAAATTTCTAATAATGCATCCTAAAAATTCACAACTAACAAATAACAAAAATTTTAAATTATAAAGAGATTTTTTTAGATGATCATCCAGATAAACTTTGGCTAAAAATCAAATTTATTCAACTATGGCTACTGTAGATAATTGACAAAACATAAAAAATGGCGGAAATTCCTAATAATGCATCCTAAAAATTCTTAAAAATTCACAACTAACAAATAACAAATTTTCAATCACTAATTCAATTTTTTAGATGGTTATGCAGATAAATTTTGGCCAAAAATAAAATTTACCCGACTGTGGCCACCGTAGATAATTGGTAAATTATAAAAAATGGCGGAAATTTCTAATAATGCATCCTAAAAATTCACAACTAATAAATAACAAAAATTTTAAATTATAAAGAGATTTTTTTAGGTGATCATCCAGATAAACTTTGGCTAAAAATCAAATTTATTCAACTATGGTTACTGTAGATAATTGATAAAACATAAAAAATGGCGGAAATTCGTAATAATGCATCCTAAAAATTCTTAAAAATTCACAACTAACAAATAACAAATTTTCATTCACTAATTCAATTTTTTAGAAGGTTATGCAGATAAATTTTGGCTAAAAATAAAATTTACCCGACTGTGGCCACCGTAGATAATTGGTAAATTATAAAAAATGGCGGAAATTTCTAATAATGCATCCTAAAAATTCACAACTAACAAATAACAAAAATTTTAAATTATAAAGAGATTTTTTTAGATGATCATCCAGATAAACTTTGGCTAAAAATCAAATTTATTCAACTATGGCTACTGTAGATAATTGACAAAACATAAAAAATGGCGGAAATTCGTAATGATGCATCCTAAAAATTCTTAAAAATTCACAACTAACAAATAACAAATTTTCAATCACTAATTCAATTTTTTAGATGGTTATGCAGATAAATTTTGGCCAAAAATAAAATTTACCCGACTGTGGCCACCGTAGATAATTGGTAAATTATAAAAAATGGCGGAAATTTCTAATAATGCATCCTAAAAATTCACAACTAACAAATAACAAAAATTTTAAATTATAAAGAGATTTTTTTAGGTGATCATCCAGATAAACTTTGGCTAAAAATCAAATTTATTCAACTATGGCTACTGTAGATAATTGACAAAACATAAAAAATGGCGGAAATTCGTAATGATGCATCCTAAAAATTCTTAAAAATTCACAACTAACAAATAACAAATTTTCAATCACTAATTCAATTTTTTAGATGGTTATGCAGATAAATTTTGGCTAAAAATAAAATTCACCCAACAGTGACCACCGTAGATACTTACTAAAACATAAAAAATGGCGGAAATTTCTAATAATGCATCCAAAAAATTCCAAGAAATTCACAACTAACAAACAACAAATATTAAATCACTAACAGAATTTTTCAAATGGCTATCCAGCTAAACATTGCCTAAAAATAAAATTCACCCAACAGTGACCACCGTAGACAATTACTAAAACATAAAAAATGGCGGCAACGATCGCCAGAAAAACAGTTTACCCCTTCGTTTCGATACTCTCTGCCTTACGACGTGTCATTTTCATGGAAATTCATATTCCAGGTCACGGATCGCTGAGAAGTAAGACCGACTTACTTGCAGGGGTCCAAGGTGAGGCCCCCGGGGCAATCCTCGTCGGTGAGAATGTCGCACTCGAGGTGCGAGCACACACACGAAAGAGCCCTCGCGACCGCGATCGAGAGCACAACGATGCCTCCCAGCAACAGCAACGAGGCCCTCATTTTTCCTCCACCGTTTCGATCCTCCGCCACGCACAACACGGTTTTATATATTCACTGCCCTCTGCGTGACTCGCGGGTGTTTTTAACGCCGCGAGAACGTCCACCGAAACGCTCAGTTCGTCGCGGGGGGACTCGCAGCACTGTGCATCCTCTCAGCTCCGATTCACCACCTGCACACCGCGACACGTGCTCTCACTTTTCGCGTTCGGGTTACACTACGGCGATAAGCGACCTTCCATCGGGTTCCGCGAACCGAACGTTCCTCGAATTCGTACCAAGCACGAGACTCGCGAACGCGACGGTCTAGGAATATACAGAGATCCCTCGACCATCAACAAACACAACGGAACGTCGTTTTTGCTAAACTCAAGTAGCTTTAGGGGGAAATCTTATCCATCAACTGGGCTACTGAAGCTGTAAAATACGTTACATTTGACTTCAGGTCGATTAAAATATTTAACAGTAGTTTCAAAAGGACAATAATATTGAGAACTGACTACTGGAGTCGTAGAACAAATCTGTGTATCTAGGGGAAACAATTTTACAAGTCTATAACAGAGGAACAACGCGAGGATTCCTTTCATAAGGCAGTTTCCACTCAACGACGTACTCGAGCAACTTGCAAGTTGCAAACGTATATAAGGGTTGCTAGTAAAAGTTGCTTCGTTTCTCCCTGCAATGATAGTCCATATCCCGAGCACTTTGGACGCAATCAATTTTACAACAGTCTAAACTAAACGGAAGTTTCCCTCCGCAAGAAAAGTTTCAACAACCTTCGAACAACTAGTTACAAGTTACAATCGCGTGAGGAACAGAGTACGGATTCCTAGGATCCTTCTTTACCACCCCGGATAATTGCAATTACAAACAACAGAAACGAACCAAGTATGGACGAAAAGAAATCGGCGTCGATCGCGGTTCCCAAACCGGTCGGGTCGATAAATCGCGTCGACAGGGGGGAATCACCGCCGTCAGAAAGTTCGCCGGGTCTCGTTGCAGCGGTTAAATTACAAGGGTAGGCCGCGAACTCGGCGAAACAGCCGCAGTGCCGCATGCAACCCTAGCCGCGGTCGGATTTCGAGGACCTCGATGCCGTTTTCGCGCGCGCCGTTTCGATACCGCGGTTATATTTCCCGATGGATGCATCCACCGGTAACAAGAATCGCGATGGGCACGCGGAACGGGGTGAGCTATAACGCGACGAATTGCACGCCGGCTACGTCCACGCTGTCGTCCCCCACGAATTCACCGACTTATTGCCTCGCTTCTTGCCTCGATCAGAGATACTCCTGACACCACTGTTCAACACATCTTCGGTCCTGGGTGCATCGTGTGATTAAAAACTTGATCCCGATCGCAGGAAGAGAGGCAGCAGGTTGGTCGTTCACTGAAAACGATTTTATTTCTTTTTACTCGAGGATCCTAACACAGGGGTAGGGTTTCATAGATGAATACGGTTTTAGAGTGTAACTATCCGCGAACGGAGCAGGATGAAACGATCCTGACGGATGTATGGGAATATTTACGAGAATATTCGTTGCGTAGGATCGCATAGTAATCCCCGATGGAAGCGCGTTTTTCCTTCGTCCCCTGCGCGCTGTATCTCCCTCACGCTCGCAGCAACATCGCGGACACGGTACCACAAACGTATCCCGGCGACGACCAGCACGCGACGCGCTCGATGTTCAAGACGAACGTGCACTGGTCGACGATCAGCGTCTACGACGCGGCGTCGACCGCCTCGACGCCCCGCGTCGGCGCCCTGACGCGTCTGCCTGCCTTCTTTCCCCCGCGGGCCGTTTCTTTTACCTGCGATTATTGTGCCAGGGCGAACTGCGTAACTCGTCCAACCCCTGATTAGTTTCTGTCGTTCGAGAACCCACGGCGGACTTAATTTACACGGTCCTTGTTCCTCGTGCATAAACAAAAACACAGCGGTATGTGCTTTGATTATACGAAACATCAGCCTTCAACTGGTAGCATCTCCCATTATTCCTCGAAGCTCCTTTACGGTAGTAACATCGCGGATGATCTGAAAGATGAAATATGGGTACATTAGTCATTTGACTATAGAGGGTGTTCAGACCTGGAAAAAATTTTAATGGGGGATTGTTGGGGCCAAAATAATACGAAAATCAGGAATATCAATTTTTCGTTTGAGGCTTCGTTAAAAAGTTATTAACAGTTGCGCCTGTAGATACGCAATTGTTGATAACTATTTTAACGAAGCCTCCATCAACAAATTAGTATTCCTGATTTTCGTTTTATTTTGGCCCCTAGAATCCCCCATTAAAATCTTTCCCAGTGGTTGCAACATCGAAACAGGATGATCTGAGATAAAATATGAGTCTATTAATCGTGCAACCACGTGTAAAATACAGAGAATATAACAAAATATTTTATCCAGTGTACCTACTATTTTTTCTTTCTCTATTTGACCATCAAATGGGCAAGTCAGTTGTTGCTTCTTTTTAAAGAAAATAAATGTTACCTTTGGCTTTAACTTTAATTTTAAAGCTGCACAAATCTCTGCACTATACTCTAAGATTCTAGGAATGCTTTCAATGTCGCCGTTGGGTTGTCCATTGTGAGCAGCGCGCTAGACTTCAGCAAAGGCTACCGACACCTTTGTAATTATGCCGCGTTCTGGAACGGTCTCGAACCTTCGAGAAGGTGTGTTTTATTCGAGAGAAGACGAAGCGAGGGACACGTGGCCAAACTTGATCTACGCTCTGACCAAGGAGACGAGTCGCCAAACGTAAACAACCTAACCCTGAATGTGACCCGTAAGCGCCCTTTGGCAGACAATGACTACAGTCGTGGTGCGGACTACTGTGCACAGGGGCAAGAGGGGTCCATCTGTCTATCTTGCTCCCTTGCTCTCAGGCAGTCCAGGTGCGTGTGCAACTGCCGCGACGAATAGCGAACCAGAATTCAATGTGTACGTGGGAATTGGTGTACCCCCTCTACTTTTCTCGCATTCCTGCCACGGGACTTCCAAGTCGAGGACCAGTAACATCTAAATAATTCCCCAAATTACCGGATCATCATCTACGCGTAATGTAGGGTTACTAACAAGTAATTATGAAATATTACTTTTGACTTGTTCCTCGTTCCGGTCGCCGCTGCGTGTTTGTAACGAGCAAATAACCTGGTCGGTGGCCATCCTCCCGGTGATCGAAGGGGAAGATGCTCTCGACCGCAAAGGGGTGCGTGACGACCCTCTGCCAGACGTCCTAAGCTCATCGGCTGAAACAAAAAAGACCAATCGAGATTTTATTGGGAGCCTGGTAATAGATTGCAATAGAATTGGCCGCGCAAAAAAGTACAAAATGGCGCCTCTTGGCCATTTCAAAGTACAATCACTTATTGTTTGCGTTATAATTTTTTATATATCGAGGTGGTTGTGTAATTGAATTTGCAATCGAATTTAGGCACATTGTGCAAAATAAGATACCTTTGATAAATTTTTTTTTTTTTATATTTTTGTTATGATCGACGAACGCCTTAAAAGTTTACTATGATAAACGCGATGCACGCTAGAACCTACTAGAGAAATTTCTCGGCCGGGAGGAGCAAAATTACCGGCTTGTTTTGATGGATAAGAAGCTCGTATAAAAAGAAAAATTGGATGGTCTAACGTCGACCTGGAATATCCCGTGGATGAACCATCTAGTTGCCAGCGTTCTTATAGCCAATTGCAGCCCACTAACTCTAACAAATGTACCCGGGTATCGTTCACACAGATGCGCTCACCCTTTCCATCTTGCACTCTCAAAAACAATTTTTCCTCTATGCGCGTCGCAAAACGCAATTTGTCCTAATGTCTACGAAACGTCCTCGCTCGATGGATATGCCATTCTTTCGCGAGAAGAAGGCACAACGTGTTTACATCCCTCCCCACTCCTGTTGTCAGGAGTCAGCCAATCAGCGTGCTGCAGCAAGAGTGGGGATGTAAACACGCTGTGCCTTCTTCTCGTGGAAGGACATTGTGTTTGTCCATCGATAAAACGATAATACTCCTATCCCCCCCCCAAATTCCAACATTTATATTCATCCATCTAGAAAAAACCATTAAAAAAGAATTTAATCTTTCTCGATTACAATTTCCTTCTTGTATAAATTAAAAATTAAAAATCTTATTCTACATACATATTCTAATATATTTATAATTATATATATTTTAAATACATCCAACATTAAAATGAAATATAAAAGGATGTGCCTTAATTCATCTCCAAAGCGCAACAATGAGCATTTAACAACTAATAATTTATTTCTTAAATTCATAATACATTTTAAAATTGAAACGCGACAGAATATTTCAGAGCAACTCGCGCGAGCTGTTATGTACAAATATTGCTTGTATAGAATTCATTTCCAAAGACACTCGTACGCATTTAATAACTAGTAATTTATTCCTCGGAATCGTGAAATATTTAAACATTTTACTGTCGTAGAGAAATTAAAAGAACTTACTTTTTTGTTATGCACCTCGTTGCACGAAGGTTAGACATTTCGAAGTGTCGAAGCGTTCTGTAATATGATTGGCTGGGTAGGGAGTCTGCGCAATGACGCTTCGTGAAGGTTTCGAACATGGCGGATGGGAAATTCGTATCCGTAGAAATCGTATGCCCAGCACACCCAACGAAAGCATTTATGCGAATATATTCGTTGTCAAAGCTTCCAGCTATAACATGGATAGTTTATTTTTTGTATCTGTAACGCGAAACAGATGTTTTTATCGTTGATTTACGGAAGAGAAACGAACAATTTAAATCGTTCAAAATTTGTTACGTATTATGCTTTAGACCCGTAAAAGAACGTATAATATTACTTTCTTCTTTCAAACTGTAAACTAAGACATCCCTAATGACCTTACGATTGCAAATTTAACGTAGATAATTGCATTTTTGTAAAGCGTTTCGTGTTCGCTGGACGCGTTCGAATATAAAACGTTCTACATTGCAAAAGAATGCAAACGAAAGCGAATACTCACGCTGGGGACTTGTTTCTCGAGTTGAACAACCTGAATTCGTGGAGGGAAACGGGATTTGCTTAATTTTTGCTTAAATATTCCTCTTTCGAGCGGCTCTGAATTACAAAGCGTGCGTAGCGCGCGAGGTCCTGGCGGGAAGTGAACGACAGTATGGCCAACTTCCGGCTTCCCGGCTAACTTCAGAGTCACTTCCGCCTAAAGAATCCGACCAATCAGAAACCGACTACATAGGCGCCATAATAATTTTGTGACCGGTTTTCAATTCAATTGAAAATTGCACGCGCGATAATACGCGGCAGTACTTTCAACGGTGTATTTGAGGTTACGTACTGGTCAATGTTTACAGTAAATTGTTAACATCTATTAATAGAACAGATATGTAATGTTTAAATGCAGTTCCATTAGAGTTTAAGATATTTTAATTATCTCGTAAGAGAATCATAGTATATTTCTTATTATTAAGATAAATCAATGTACGTGAAATGGAAGCACCCGCTGTAGAAAGTCTGCCGTAAGTAAATATTACCTTGTTTTGCCGTCTTAATGAAAAGGAATACAGCTTTTATGGTTCTTTAAGAATTGACCCTGTTTGTACAATGACTGTCATCGTCTAAACATTATTTTTAATTCAGTTACTGTAAGGAATTGTGGTTCTTAATATCGGATACGGTATGCCGGTGCGAGAGACAGCTCGTCGAAGATGAAATTAAAAAGGAAACAAAACTCCTCAAGGAAGGTCTTCTATATTTTAAACCGTACACAGAAGCGTCGCTGCAAAATATACCCAAGAACGATCCTTCGCCTCGAATGTACGAACTAATTAGTAAACTTGCTCCTCTTCTGGTACGTATTACGAAAAGCTTTTCACTACTTTTTTTATTTAAATATTGTCAGAATTGTTTTCCTGTTTTTCTAGAATCTGGACGCTACGATTACGTGGGACCTAGTTTGTAATTTCATAAAGTACGAATATCGCAATTGCACAGAAACGTTCGCGTCTCAGCTTGTGGATTATACTTCCATGAAAGTGTTGATCAACGATATATGGAACTTTTACTATTCCGAAAGAATGACCCTGATAAAATGCCTAAAACTTATGGTCGAATATAAAGACAACGAACACCGTTACCAAAAGGAATTCGCCAAGTTTTTCGATAGCGTTCTATTCGGAACGTTGTTGGAATCCATTCAGAAACAAATAGAAACATTGAAGACGGTGAACCCACCTGTTAGATCCCAACTATGTACGGAGGAGTATTTGCACAGGTTATATAACAGCAGCCTTGTTGAAATGCGAGAATTACTTCACATATTAACGGTCATCATTCATGATATACATATTGCGGACAGCGAATTTTTGAAATTTTACGAAAGCATCGGGGTTGGTAACGTACTAGAAGAATAAGTCTGCGTTACAGTACTGTTATTAAATAAATTCGATTATTTTACAGGGGGAACCAAGGCGCTTGGCAAGCACAAAAAGTCACGAGGACAAGAAAGCAATTGCAAAGAAAATCAAAGAAATACAGCACAGTCAAGCGGCTCTATTTTTGGTAGCATTGGACGTCAGAAAACAGTGAGTATTTTGCACCGTAACCTAAAATTAATCAGAATTTTAACGTTAATATTTTGTTTCTCAGTGTCGACATGGAAGATTGGATACGAAGCGTTAGAAACAGCATGCAAGAAACCTTCGAGCACAAATGCATCCGCGACAGTTACCCGCAAGACAGCCCACTGTTTCTGTCGTGGATGTTGGCAAATTACGCCATCGATCCGGAAAATATGGACACGTTAAACCGATTCAAACCGTTCGGTATCAAAGCCATACAACTCAACGTCTTCCATTACTTGCAGGATTTAATGAACACCGAAATGATCTGCGAAAAGACTCATTACGCGGAAGTCGTGCACAGCAGCGTGTACAACCTCCTTACCTTGGTGTGTGCGTTCGTGGACGAAGAAAAACTCAGCGTACTGAACGGTATCTTCGATGCTGTTGCCGCCACGATTCAGTTCCCCAAAACGGCGGCGCGATTTTGGGAGGAACGGGACGACGGTTTATGGTTGATCTACAAGTTCGCGGCTGAACAATTCCCGTACGAATTCGAGCCACTGACGAACATTGCGATCGGTTTGGCGAGCGCGTCTGAAGCGAGTGCTGAAAAAATCGCGGCGGAGCTGGACAATCTCCAGTCGCTGACGCTGGAGGTACCGCGACAGAGGGACCACAATAAACCCTTCAAACCGTACGAGCAAGAGTGTATGATCCATAAAAACTCGTACGCGATAGCTGAAGATTCTCTGCGCGAGAATATACGCATGTCCAGCGACCGCGAGGTGGTGATATTTCGGCAGAAAGCGTGCTACTGGGACGCCTTGCACTACAAGATAGAGCAGCTCTTCTCTCAAGCTGGAGGTGGGATCACGAATATCAGCGAGATGACCAAAAACTTGCCCGAGATCGTATCGCAAGGGTTGAAGTTACTGAAAACTCTAGCCAAATATATAGGGATACCTCAAAGTATGGTCATACCAACGGAGCTAAGCTTCGAGATCATCAACAGATTCTCCTATCCAGTATTACCCGAGGACAAGATGTACATATACAAAATCGTTGCAGCGTGCATCAGTATTTCATCCGAGCTCGTTCTAGAGTATCCTGAAGAGATACTCTCAAGGATGCGCGCAGGCGTTTATCCAAGGTTCAACAACCGTTACCAGAAGACGTTGGACTTCGCGGAAGCCGTTTCGTTCGACGGCGGTATAATCGCGTCCTGGCTGTCCTCCATCGAAACGATCGCCCATTCCTATCCAATTTTGAACGCGTACTTGGATATCCTGTCGAAGTACTTGATCAGGAAGTACAACGAGGAAGCTTTGTACACGGTTGAGATTCCAGGAATGGTGTTCTTGTTGCAAGGTGTTCTGCCTAAATTGGATTCTTGGTACTTCGATTCGGACGCGGAGAGGACCGATCTATGGTTGAAGAGCATGTTCTGTCTTCACAGAGCTCTCGAGTCTAGTCTACCGAAAGAAGACATACGGAATGAATTGCAGCTGGTGGTCGCGTATAGTTTATTGTATCTGGAGCCAAGGCACGCGTTGCTGAAGCTGATCCGCACGGGTGAACGTACACTGCACAATAAAATGATGGCTGAAACTGATTGGATCCGCGGTAAAGGGTTCAAGGCGATCAAGAGTGTACAGCTGGCTCTATCTGTGGTGAATAGATTGCTGATCTTCAGGAAATCATTGGGACTGGAGACAGGAGACAGATCTCCGTTGGAAGCTGCCTTGTATTCTTCGCCTCGTGTGCCCAATGGTCTCTTAATAGTGCCCACGATCGTTAACTATCTCTATGTCTGGTTCAGTCCACCGTTGCAAGCCATGGCTGTCAGGCTGCTGAAGAAGTTTGCTGAAGGATCTTCCATGTCTCTCCTCGTCTGCATGGGCATGGACGGTACAGCTATCAGAGAAACCTTCGCGTCCCGTAGAGGACTCATGTCGCCAACTTGCGTGGCGGATGTTAAAGTCGCCATCCTCGAGTTGGTCGCTGTTTGCCTGGAGAAGCAACCAGGCCTGACGGAGGCTCTCTTCAACATCGTGCACCCGGCAGAATGCAAACGGATCTTCCCTAGATCGGTCGAGGAGTTCTTCACGGAAGGGTGCAGACAGTTCTTGGTGAAATACTTGAACCGGATTTACGAGAAGGGGGACATCGTGTGCGACAAGTTGTATAATAGCACGATGGCGTTGCTGAGAGCGATGTGGTACCACAGGAACGAAATTCTAGTCAATTTCTTTCGCAAACGAGAGAAGTTCTGGACTCATTTGTTTGCACCTCTTTTCAGAGATCTAGTGCCGGGCGCTAAGGGTTACTCTCACCTGTTAGACATAATCACCCTGGAGCTGTTCAAGAGTTCCGTGCTGGAAGACGACTTCTCCATGAACCTGAGAAAATTTCTGGACAAGTCGAAAGATTATTGGAAGAAGCTGGCGATCTACATACTGGAGGATGTGCATTCCGAAGGCGACAGGTCGTTGAATTACGAGAAACAGGACACTAGTATCCTGCATTCCCAGTACGAAAGTAATCTGGAATCCTGGTACAATTTCATCGTCACGCTGACCGATGAAAGGATCGCGACCAACTATCCGGTGAACGTGATCCAGGCGCAGCTGATAACGCAGCACTCTCTAGGCTCGCTGTTGGAACGGGTGAAACAGTCCCACGACCTTGGTAGCAGAAAGATCACGATGTTGCTAGCGTCTCTGTCCCTGCGTTGCATCACCTCTTGGAAGCAGATATGCGTAGACGACTCGAGGATCTTCAAGACAGGCTTGACGCAGCTGATGCAGGAGATCGGCCAGGCCTACCGCAGCTACGGGAAGTCGTTGCGTCAGACGCTGATGTCTTTGCTCCTTGGTTGCGTGCAGTGCGTGAAGAAGACGTTGCGCGAGGACGCAACGAGCCTCGAGTACCTTCTGGCGCACTCCTGCACAATCGCAGCCAGCGAGTTGGAGCAACTGAGGGAGGCAGCCGTTCAGTTCGAGAAACGGAAGCAACAGCAGCCGATAGAACGCACGGTGGACGAGAAGGGGACGATCGGTAGCGTGACGGCCCAGAAGAACGCCGATGAGATGAACGCGGAGACCCTCCGTGGAATTCGCGAGAGTTTGCCCGCCACTTTGGCTGTCTGCATGGTCACGCAACTGTTGCGGTCCTACGTGGAGCGCAGCTCGCTGTCGAAGCAGCAGCGCAAGTCAGGATGCGTGCAGCTACGGCAAATGATACCCGAGCTGATGGCCTGCATCGGCATCACCTTGCAGAAGTATCCTTATCTGAGATTCAGCACAGCGGCGCTCAACCTGCTCAACCTGATCGTCCGTTCCCCGTACACCCTCCACCCTATCAACGAGAACGACATTGCAAAGCTGTGGCTGAGCCTGATTCCACCCGCTGACATCGGCAACAGCATGCTGGACTCCTTGTACGACGACTGCACCAACGGGAAGTGGCGTTGCCAGGATTGGTGGCCGCTCTACACCCTAGGTTTGGAGTTCCTCACTGGATTAGTGACCAGAGAAACACCCACAGTCTATATAAAATCTATTGTCATGTTTCTTGACTCCCACGAGCACCAGTTGATGGTCGCGTCGACGTTGCTCAGACACACTGCGGACCTTTTAGCTGCTGATCTGGTACAATCCTTGGTTGCGCTCATCAACATCATGGCCACGCTGCCGTACGTTTGGAACTCGATACAGAAGAGCATATGCGAGACACTGATCAAGTGCATGTACCTGGCGTACGACAACACCGTGAACCTGCTGCTGCGCCCGCGGATCCTCAAGTTCATCATCGACGGTATCAGCATGGAGAGCGCGGAGGAGCTCGAGTCCTGCGACAAACGTTCACCGAGCGACGAGCTGAAGCTGCTGGTGAACAAGCTGATCATCATAAACACGACCTGCGCGCTCAGTTTCGTTTACTTCTCGCCCAGACTGAACACCCTGGTGGACACTATATACACCCAGGACTTCTGGTACACCCCCATGGCGGAGATGAACTTTGGACCGCCACAGATGAGCATAATCTCCGGTCCACGGTTGACGTACGGCACCATCATCAGCTCCACGCAGCTGTTCACGCAGGCTCTTCACTCCAGGTCTCAGCCAGTGAGCTCCTCGTCGGTGTCCTTCGTTGGCCAGAACGACAAGACGGATTCCGCCAAGAGGGAATGGGAACACGCCACTCCTGAAGACAGAAGGATGCACACGAGCAAGGATCTCAGGAGGATGATCCACGCCGCTTCCGGCTCGGCTTCTAGGTCCTCCAACGTGGCTGGGGACTTTCTTGCGTACGTCAGCGGCCTGGACGTGACTGTGCCGCTGTTGAGCAGCCCCAGGTTGGTCAGAAGGCCTTACGATCCTCTCATTTGCGAGAACACTATACTGTCCAGAGCAACAGCCTTGACCAGTGGTAGACACGTCACCAAAGGAGGTGGATCGATCACTGGGAAAAGCGGCAGCAGCCCTGTTATTACCAAATATCAGAAGTTCAGCGATCCTTGGTTCGAATCTATGGACGAGAACAACACGAGGCTGGCGCTTGAAATCAATCTCGTGTTGATATTGTGCCAAGCCCTAGAGGGCGTCAGGAGCCCGAGGATCGCTCTCAGAGACCGTCAGCTGATAGCGCGGGAAACGATCACGGAACTGGGAGTTTTCTTCGATTTCCTCGAGCACCGAGGCACGCCTGACAACTGGCCAGTGAAAGGATCGTTGATCAGCGCGGATACAAAGAGCGTCAGGACGATAGATCAGTCGGTCGATCCCAGTTACAATATTTTACCAGCCAGATTGAAAGAATCGCACAGAGAGGCACTCGAGGAGGACATTTTCACTACCGGACGGTTCACGACCAACGTCAGCAGCGTACAATTTCTACCGCTGATGGGCAAGCTGCTGAAGGCTGTCGTGGAGTCCTTGGACTTGATACAGTATCGATAGCGACGGTTACAAAATAGGACGAATTACGTGTTAAATTAACACTTTACCGACCGGTAGCGGTTGATTAATCGGCTATCGGTCGGTAAGCGTTGGTCGGTAAAGAAGTTGATTAATAGGCTATCGGTCGGTAATGTGTTAAGAATAAACGAAAGGAGAAATTTGGCAGTGTACAAAAGAAACAAAGTTTTTTTATAATTATTCGGTGTACGTTGGAATTCGTAATAAAGTAACGATTTTTATTATAACCTTCTTGTGCTCGTATAAAGGATAAAAAAAGTTTGATAAAAAGAATAAATCGAGGGAGAAATTTCGAAATGTGTATAAAACGCAGCGACTCTTCGCCCTCGGTGCCATGAGGCTTTACAAAGGTCGAGGAGAACCACTGGCGCCAAATCACCAAAAAAAATTTTAACGATCACCGTTTCGTGCATTCTCGCAAATAAAAAAAAAAAGAACAAGTTCTCAGCGAATTTAGTTTAATTCAATCATGTCTCATTTCGTCGGATTCGCGTAACCCGCGTTGCGGAACTGGATTTTTTCTGTACATTTAGTACCAGCGACAGAACAACGTTTACGTTCATCCTACGTGTGTTCGCGCACGGCGCTACAATTCTGCGATCACGATCGTTCAACACTTAAATATTTATAGATCCGAGAACGCGAATCGATGTTAATAATTTAAACTCGTGTGTTCCTCTCGCAAACTTAATCTACGGACAACGACGGACACAGTTACCGGAAAGTAGAAAGCAGAGAATGGAAAAAGCTACGGTAATTCGCGTCCAAGTTCCACTCACCGTCAAACTGTTCGTTTCCTTTTTTTTATTTTTTTTTTTTTTTTTTCCGTCCTTCTCGGTTGATCGACATAGCTTTAATACCTCTTTGTGTTCGTTACGCGCGAGAACGTACATTTTTCGCTGACGCGATCGATAGTCGTTACTACGATACAGTATAAAAATATAGAATTCGTGATATCAACGAACGTTATATGTTACGACGATAGCGATGGCGCTAGCGACGAGCTGAACGCGCCGCGCAGTGACATTTGACGCCTTCCAGGCTGCGAACCCGAAGGTCGCGTTTGACGCTAAGGGGGCAAATGAGGTAAAATGTTCTCCGGCGACGGTGAATCGTGGGTGTCGTTGGTTCTCGACGTCGCCCGCGAATGGTAGAAATTATTCGAGGTAACGGAACTGACGACGGAGCTGGTGGTCACCGTGTTGGCGGTACCAACAGCGGTGACCGTCGGCGCGGTGTTCGCCGTGGCGTTGATGGTGATCGTCGTCACGATGGAGGAGGTAGAGTGGCCTCGAGAGGCCAGGTTCGACCACGCGTGAGGATTGGGACAGGCAGAGTCGGCCGGGGAGCAGTCGGACTGTCGAGTCGACGAGGTACAGTACGCAGGCGTCGTCAAAGTGGTGGAGACCAATCCTGATGGCGATCCGCTGGCGATGATTGGCGTGGGCGGCGGTGGAGGAGGGGGCGGTGGCGGCGGCGGCGGTGGCGTTGGTCCGTTCAGATCCGCCAACGGATCGACGGCGCCACTGTCCCACGGTTCCGTGGATTTCGATTCGTCGTTATTCACAGCACTAGCGGTCGACCGTTGCCGCTTGGCGTCACCGTACAACAAACAATGAACATTCGGCGAGCTGCTGCGATCGCGCACACCCTCCTGCTCCTCCAGGAATCGGTCCATATAGTCCCTGCTTACGATTCAATGGTCTTGTCATACTTCAAGTTTTCAATCACGACACGTTGGAAAATGCAAATGAAAGAGAGACTGTGCGACTCGAACGAAAGTAATCCATCTATTTAAGCCGCGAAAGAAGATAAAAATACGACATGTGTTGTAATAATTTAAATAAAATGAACAACTTCGTTTATGAGAACGATGCCCCTATCGATGGATAGAGAAAATACTCACGTGATGCCAGGATGCAACGCGTACTTCTTCTTCTCCAGACGGGCCTTGTACGTGAATATATCGTGACGTTCCGTTTTCTTCCACAGGTAATAAAATTGCACTAATTCGCCGACAGAGCGCGTCCTAACCTGTAACAAGAACAACAACAATGAATCAAAATAATTTTTCGTTTCTCGAGACGAGTCAAGGTACGTACCTTGTTCTTCTGTATCAGATGAAAGTCTTTCCCATAAGTTCGTAACCCGGACTCGAAGTTGTGGCACTCCTCTTCCGACCAGAGGCTAACTGCATCAGTAGGCGGTACAACGTTCATTCTACGCCTTCTCAGCGCTTCTTCAAGATTATAGCCACACTGCAGCAACAGATACAGCGCTTGTTCGTCGTCTCTGATATGGGACCCCGTAGGCAGAGCACCGCCCTTCACAGCTGGCAACTGTGCCCGTTCCAAGAATTCTTCGGTTTCTTCCTCGGGTATATGGCTAGGGTCCCATAACATCTTGTCCTCGTTCTCGTATGGCAATGCATCGTCGTAACGACAAAGACCTTCTGGTATAGCAGCTTGGTAATCGTTACCAACCATAATTGTCTTTTTCCATTCCTCTTCGTCCGGGCTGTAATCACAGTCGTCCTCTTCCTCCTCGCTCTGTGGTCGCGAAACGCTTCGCAATAATCTTGAGGTACCGCTAACTATACTACCGCTAACTATTCCATCTTCGCCACCGTCCGCTGTGCCGCCTCCGACACTGCCCTCTACACCAGTGACGGTATTGTCGTCCGTCGTACAGCCTCCGTGTCCAGTCATGCCGCTGCACTTCGCGGCGACGGTGCTCCCTATCGTTGCGGTCGTCCTCGCGTTTTCATTGTTGCTACAGCCATCCATCATGGAACACTCCTCGCCTTCTACCTCCTCGTCGTCGTCGTCGTCATCGTGGATACGGTGCCGTCTGCTATTGTCACCAGCGACCACGCTACCAGCACCGCCCCCTTTTATCGCCGATCCCGACACCAACGACGTCGAGTCCTTCCCTTTCACCAACATTTCTGTATAAAATTGTTTGAGATCTGGCTCGTTACTAGTCGCGTCCGCCTCGTCGTCGTCGTCGTCGTCGTCCGCGTCATTGTCACCCTTATCCGAATACTGTCCCTCGACTTCCGGGTCGCCGCTCCCGGATGGAATTAACAACCGATCCGAACTGTTTGAATTTTCCGTAGACGGATCCCCGTATCCGTACATTGCTAGTAGGTCTTTTAGTGGCATATCACCTTCCTGAAAGAAGACAAGAACGCAAATGATCACCAAGCCGGATGTAGCAAATAGACTAGGCATACGAATCTCACTACGAGAACGCACTTTGAGTCCAAAGTGTTGTAGAAACTTATCATAATTGTAATTATTTATGGGCTTGATTTTTTCATTTCACAGGCTTGATCCTAGAATAGTTGGGATCAGAATCTTGTTACAAAGTGAACATCGTATATATATTAATTTAACTCAGAAACCGTAGAATTATACCTTTTGCAAGTTGGACAACTCGTTGTGAGAATCTTCACTACCTTCTAAAGCTTCTTCTTCGTCTAAAGTCCGTTCATCGTCAAAATCATTTACCATCATTTCCGTCGCTGGGCCCATATCATAATCTCGATCTGCCCTGTAAAACGTTAAATACTTAATGATGCATTTCTTCTTTTAACACTTTATCTACCAGTAGTGGTCGAGTGGACGAAAACCGTCGTCAACCAAAAACCTATTAATAGGCTATCGGTAGATAAGCATCGGCAATCGTAAACTCGATTAATAGGCTACCGGTCGATAAAGTGTTAAGCAGCGATTAACAATAAAAATATCAAGATTCATATTTACTAACATGTTTATATCTTTTGAAGTAACTGACGTGGTAACATATCGCATTTATATTAGAATTATGTATCTAATATATGCACAGAGCGACGTACACCATTAGAACGATGTAGTAGGTTGTCCTTAAACTACCTGCATTGTATATGTTGTTTCATGTAATCAACGTAACGGAACGGGAAGATGTAATATGGAATTTATGACGCATACCTAACCTTAAATTCGTATGACTCGTACTGAGTTTATGGTCACAGTGATAATTCATATTTCGATAAACGATATTAAGTACGTCTAAAAGTCTTTCGTTGCTGTCACTTCATGCTGTACGGAATATACACTACACCTCACTGAAAACCTTTCGTTTCGATATCGTACATATTCACAAAGAGTGTTGAATCTTTCAAACGGAAACGCTTCGCAATACATCCAACATATTTTTTTTTAAGGCACAGTTTTAACGGACGAGAAACGCATTTTCGGTCCGTATCAATGGCGATGGCACACGTTTGTTATAAACTTTGAGGAAACAAGTCGAAACACACACGATTCATTATTTATATTCATCGAATGTATCGTTACACTCCTGCAGCACTCTAAAAAGCGGGAAAGACACGGAATCATCCTGTCGACCAATCACGATCGCTCAAAATCTTCTAGGGAGCGTTTTACCATTGGCCGTGAAACAGGTTTTCCCAAATTGATTCGTTGTGAATCCACCTTTGCGTAGCACAAATTTTGAATTAATTTTTAATACTCAAATCGTGTAAATATATGCATTAATATGTATATATATATATATTTAAATTATATTGCGAACACGTTTAAATATTTATAACAGAAATGTAAACGTGCGTTAAGAATATTTAATTATGTGATGCTTATGTACATATATGTATGTATATATATATATAACGCTTCTTGTTAATAATGTAACGCACAGTAGTTCATTATACTTTCTATTGAAATTAACGATAGTAATATAAGTTTGAAAAATTTTTACTTTTGTACGATTCAGTGTTGCTCGAATTATTGTATTTTATGAAATACTGTATAATAAAGAATAATATTTTATATGTGCAATATGTTCTCTTTACCAGTGAGAAATAATTATTTTAAAAGGGAACTGGTAAATATATTGCGGTACTTTTACATTTAATATGTTATTTCAATAATGCGTTAATCTTTCAGACTGATAATAGAAAAGTGCTGTTAGTTTTTCAAGCGATAAGGTAAATTTTCGTAATTGGCATGTATAAACAGAAATATTTTTCTTTGTAAATATTTGTCTTTATTATAGAAACACAGCCACGCAAAAGGATGAAGAGTACCAATATATTAAAAGAAGTAAAACTCCCACAATGCATTTCCAACGATCTCTGCCGCGTTTGCCTATTCCCAAACTACAGGATACGTGCAGAAGATATCTAAACGCGCAGATACCTTTATTATCCAACGAACAATTAGAAAAAACTACGTCTTACGTGAATGAATTTCTTGAAACGAGCGGTGTTGATTTACACAAAAAGCTTATCGAGAAAGACGCTAAGAATCGTCAGACTAGCTATATCAGCGAATGGTGGTTCGATATGTATTTAAGAGATCGTAAGCCTTTACCCATCAATTACAATCCATTCATAGTTTTTGCGCCAGAGGACAAAGCAATATATAACGCACAGTTAGTGAAAGCTACGAATCTTATTGTATCGTCGTTGAGATTCATGAAATCGTTAAAAGAGGGCATTCTGCCGCCAGAAGTGTTTCACCTGAATCCCAAAAAATCAGATACTGATTTATTTCGTACTGTTACGAGACTACTGCCGTCCCAAATCAGTTGGTACGGAGCTTACTTATTCAACGTAAGATAATAGATACGTTAGATCTTTGTTCATCACGAGACGATATACTTGTCTTGAAATTAATAATTATTACAGGCTTATCCTTTGGACATGTCTCAATATCATAACTTGTTTAACACAACGAGGATACCAAAAGTAGAAAAGGACGAAATTTATCAAAATACATCTGCTCGGCACATAATCGTAATGAGGAAAGGACATTTCTACTCTTTCGATGTGTTGGATGAGAATGGCTATATTTACGACCCAAAGACAATAGCAGCTTGTGTGAAATCTATATTAAACGACCAAAGACCAGCCAGTAAAAGCCCTATCGGAATACTTACAACTGCGGAACGTAATCTATGGGCTAATACCAGAGCTCGTTTATCAGAAGTTGGTAACCGAGACCTTCTGCAGAAAATAGACTCCGCTGCATTTATGATGATACTGGACGATGCATGTAACGGAGAAGATTACAATGAATTAGTTAAGACATTCCTCCATGCAGACGGAACAAACAGATGGTTCGACAAATCATTCTCTCTAATTGTCTCGCAAGACGGGCATGCTGGAATAAATTTTGAACACTCGTGGGGAGACGGAGTAGCCATTCTACGATTCTTTAATGTACGTAAGAATTTTGAGCAGAATAATCGTGACATTTGATTGGCATTATTTTTCCAGGATATAAAAGACGATATATCCAAACAACCAAGATTTCATCCTAACGAGGCTGATTACGTTCGAAAAGGAACAGTGGATGTCGAACGACTCGAATTTATCGTAGACGATAAACTTAAAAATATTGTTGATACGCAAACGAAGAAATACGAGGAATGGACGAAACGACTGAGTATCGATCATATGATATTCGAGAAATTTGGTAAAGGCGAGTGTAAGAACTTTGGCGTAAGTCCTGATGCGATTATGCAATTGGCTTTCCAGTTAGCTCTGTACTATCAGGACAATTGTATGGTGCCTTCGTACGAATCTTGTAGCACAGCCGCGTTTAAGCATGGTCGAACGGAGACTATTAGGCCCTGTACGATGGAAACGAAAATAACGTGCGAAGCTATGGCTCGGAAAAGTAACAAATTGTCCAAGTCGGAATTGAAACGGTTAATAATTAATTGCAGCAACGTTCATAACACGCTCACCAAAGAAGCTGCTATGGGTAATTATAATCTATAACTCATCCGGTGTTATGCTTAATCGTCAAGAATCGAAATTAACAACTTCTTTTTACATTTACAGGCCAAGGATTCGATAGACATTTGTTCGCATTGAAAAAGATTTGGGAACAATCAGATTCCCCTAAACCAGCTATTTTTCAGGATCCAGCGTACAATGATATAAACAATAATATCTTATCCACTTCCACTCTTTCGAGTCCAGCCGTAATTGCTGGTGGATTTGGGCCAGTAGTAAACAATGGATATGGAATCGGGTGAGACACACTTCCTTTATTGTTTATATAAACATATCGCCTGCAACAAGCTAACGTATAAAGTAACTTTATCTACAACATTCAACTAATGTTCAGATACATGATTCAAGATAAGAGACTGGGATCTGTGGTGACGAGTTATAACAACCATTGCAATTCTAGCGAGTACGTAAAGTGTCTGGAAGAGGCGTTTAAAAATATTAATCAGGTATTGGCCCATTGACAATAACGCTATCAAATATTTGTAATTGATATTCAATTACTATTGTATTCAAGTTCGTTGAACATACGTTACACATTTATAAGAACCTTTATCACTGTTAATTACATATACAATCGTGAATTTTTATATAATGCCGTTTGAAAACCTTTTTTTATTATTGTCAAATGAATAAAGAACTATTTTCTTCATCTTGTGTCGTTAAATGAATTCCGCTGATAAATAAGATTATACGTACTATATTTTACACATAAAAATAAGTATAACATAATATTACTCTTGTTTGATACATTTTAGTTTGGAAAAAACATATATACATTAGATGCATTCAAAGGAGAGCGCTACAACGCACTCGAAGTACTGTAAACAACTGACAGTATCGCAGCAATAAATTTCTTTCACTACTAAAAAATAGTTGAACAACTATTCGAGTTCAACTCTATTTGTATCAAAATTACAGTTGTTCGAAACAAAGATGTACTGACCTTGGCGTGAGAAACAATTTTTTTTTTTTTACATCGGTTTTGAACAGAACGGTTATACTACGTATTCCTTCTACCTACTTTCCTTTTTCTTTTAATGATTACTAAACATGGAATGGAACTTTGTGATTCCAAAAAATACTTTATGGTTGTTTGTAGTGCTGCTTCTAATCCTAAATTTATACCTTATTTCCCATTTTTACTTTAGACGTCTGCAAGAACGAAAGAGTTTGTTAACGACGAGGTAAAAGAATGATTATTAACTTTTGCGAGTAACTTACCATATAAATTCCAACGATTAATCCAAAGAGCCCGATAGCAGAGCCAAAGATTTCGACTATGAGAATTTTTACAAACAGAGCGGAATTGGCTGCGTCGGAGAGAGCTGCTCCGGAACCAACAATTCCAACAGCTATACCGCAAAACAGATTAACGAGACCGACAGCTAAACCAGCTCCGAACATTAAATATCCAGCTAGCCAGTTCTGATTACGAATTTCGTCCCTTAAAGCTGGTTCGTTGTAATTAAATTCTTCCAACATTCCCGACAAAACGATGGCTGTGATCAAACCATAGATAGCAACAGCTTCGCAAAATATAACAGAAATTAAATTCTTCGTTTTGATCCTCGGTGCTTTTACACCGCCTCCGACAATGGAGACTCCGGTCGTATGAATACCTCTGAAACATTTACATTAGTTTTTTTTTTAATTTGTCGGAAGTACACGAGAGAATCGTTCGCAAGGATTAAAACTAACAACGCAGCACCAACTACGGACAAAGCAACCGCTAGTCCGATGCCAAGGGTTGCCCACATATACGGCGATGAACTTTCCAAAAACCTACAAATATTTCTTTTTTTAATATTCGTACGTTGCAAGAATTTTTTAGCAAAATTTTTCTACTCACCATGCAATGCTAACACGTTCTCCTTTTCCAGTAAATACATGGTACAATACTGCAAGGGACATTATTATTATTTAAACAAATATATATGTATTTTAGAAAAATCGAAAACATGACGATCTTTTTCGATTGACGGGTATAATTGGTTAAATTTCTTTGTAAATTGTTTTACGGCTTTTAGTTTCATTTAAAGCGAAATAAATGTTAATTAATACCTAATACTAGAATTGTAGCGGAGGCAGTGGATGCAAAAGTAGTGCCCAAAACGTATCTCATCGCGGTGTTTTTCGTTCCGTCGTTGTACACGATACTCGAGAGAAACGTTGGAATTAAAACGAATTTATATCAACGGGTCTAAAGCATACGTTGGTCACAGGTATCTGTGATATTTTAAAATAAGAACATTTCACGTAGAGATTGGAAGGAAAGCACACACACCCGTTCTTATCATGTGACGTCTGGTGCCCCTAATGGTTAAGTGATACTAGTGACATCGATCGCGGAAAAATTGTATTAAAATTCGATTTTTAAATGTCTCGAAAACGGATTCGAAATTTTGCGATTAGATCGGTGAATATATTCGTACAACGTACTCGACGTATGCTTACACAGTTTAATTCGAGAAATGAACTTTAATTTATAAATAAATCCTACAATGGTTGGATTTATAGATTCGATTTGGATATATAGATCGAATTTATTACTTTTCTTCAAAATTACCCAAAGTAACGTACATTTCACGCATCTGCGTGGAACGTAACGTTTCTTGGAAATATTCAAATGTATGCATTATATTAATTCTTTAATTTCCCGTAAAATGTAATTATATTGTAAAATGTTGAAATTGTAAGATCGTAAGGAAATGTTAGTAATTTCGTTGAACGGTATTATTTTAGAACGTGGATTCTGTTTTATCTGTCCGATTATTTTTCTTAAAGTCAAGTTTTGAAATAAAGCACAAGGTGTCCCGGAGCGAAATCTCGGGATATCTAATTTTAGAATTCGTCACAGCTCATTCGTCTCGTGTCTTGTACAGCAATAAAAGTGCGTGTGCTAATGTCAATTGCGATACAATTAATTGCAACTGCCGGGAACGAATAATGTCTATTACGAAAGGGTAAGCGAACGACCTTTATCTTTGAGACAAGATACAAAAGTACGAATTATATCTCGATCGTTCGCGAAAGGGGCGACGAAAATGATCGTAGAAACGCTTTAAATTCCACGTGCAAATATCGTTCGGAGAAAGTTATATTACTGGCCGAGGCGTGGAAATGAGAAACTATCGCGCAAACTATTTCAGTCTTCGATTAAATTACATTGGTAAATTTAGAGACCTAAAATTAAGGTTTGTCGACCAGAACCACGGCCGTGGGAGTCATGCGACGATCGTTAGATTGCTATGTATAACAGACGCTTGGAAATCAACCGAATATTCAATTATTAATCTCCTGTTTTATTGTATAATTCTGTTTTATCGACCGTAAAATTGTCTTACTGTATAATTCTGTTTTATCGACTGTAAAATTGCCTTGCTGTATAATCCTGTTTTATCGACTGTAAAATTGTTTATCATTTTTAATAAAAGAATAACAGACCATAATTTGAGAATTTTACGCAAATATGTCCGTTGTTTTCGGTGATGCAAGAAAGTAACGAAGGCACATATTGTTTACATGACACTGTTTTATCATCGTAGTAGAATACATTCCCAGAGTTTGTTCCCAAACTTTAACAGTACATACCCACGCATATAACGTTACAGATGTGTGAATTATTCGCAGATGCGTCAAGTTCAGCGAGTTTCTGAAGACGGTTTACGACGTCGCGACGACAGATCCGTTCGCTAGCCGTTTCAAAGCGTTGTCCACGAACGGCGACAGAGAAGGAATGATAAAGATCCTCATGGACGTACCGTACATAAAGAGCGTAAGAATTGTCGGGTCGTGCACGGGTAAGGATGACGTTAAAGCGTCAGAGATTTATGGCAAGTGTCGAGTGGTCGAGAATGGAGTTACGCGATACGACGAAGGTAGAATTAGCGATCTCACGGAAACACTGTTTACGGCCAGCGTGAGTAGTAGATTGTTCCTGGATGCGCTTTTAGATTGCGCACGACACTGGTACGAGTCGAAGGCTTACGCGAGATGCCTGAGGTACTGCGAGTGCATGCTTGCGCTTCCCGCGAATTTTTACAATAAGACCGCCGACAGCACGAACGATTTCTTGGAACGTAGAAAAGCGTGCTTGAGTTTAGAGAGCGAGTGCAAGAAACGGTTGAAAGCGTCGTCCTCTCGGGACAGGAAAGCGCGCAGGAAACGCAATTCCGGTAGGAGCACGTCCCTGGAGAACGCATTTGCAGGGGATCATGGTAGCACGCCAGACGTCGACGGGAAACAGCACGCCGTTCTTAAGAGTTGCTCCGACGCTGTGGCCTTGAAATTCGTTGACAAAAGGGGCAGATGCTTGGTAGCCACCAGGAACATCGAAGCAGGAACAGTTCTTATCGTTGAACCACCGTTTGCTTTCAGCACGAACAAAGAGGCGTTCGGCAGGAATTGCTTGCACTGTCACGTCACCTTCAAACTGGACACCGTCGTCAAGATTCCCTGTTACTATTGTCGAACGGTTAGTTATTGCGAATAGATCTCAATCGGTACTAGGGACGGGCATATTCAGATAAAAAGTATTAAGGTACTTAACTCTTTGGGGCACGCTGGGATTACAAGCATCCCACCTATTCGATGCACCGTAATGCATGGTGGGACATTTTTAGTCAGAAATATCTGCATGCGCACAGGTTTATATTTCGTCTTGTTTACGTAAAGCAGTATTCACTCGAGTTGGCAACATTCAACGTGCCAATACAAGTTCATCGATTGTTGCAAGCGGAAGGTTTATTGCGACAATCTCTTTCTCCTGGTTTTTCTATTTCTTTATGCTTTTATGTGATACCTTTATTAATAAAAATATACCAATTCTGTTTAACTTAAAATGCAATAAAATTTCTACGCAACATGGGTCTATTTTATTATCTGAAATCCTGTGCCGCAAAGAGTTAACCTTTTACTTGTACGTGTATTCAATGCACTCGAGAAGCTCTTCAAACTTTAATGAACAATGAAATCAGTAAGTACTTACAAAATCGATTTATATCAAATATCACACTAATATACATACAACTATTGACATGTTTAAATTATCAAATAATCCTGCGCTTACTATTGACTATGGAACGTTAATATGACGGTACTGCACATCTAACGAATGAGATTACACTACAAACGGAAATTAACGAGACATTCGTCGCGTCGAGTACAAAAGTACCATTCTTCCGCGAGAAGAAGGCACAGAATGTTTACATCCCCACTCCTGTTGCACTCACGCTATTCGAGAACGGTGACAGCCAATCAGCGGACTGCAGCGAGAGTGGGGATGTAAACACGCTGCCTGCACGGCAGTCTGCGCCTTCCACTCGCGGAAGGACGATGTATGTTTACTCGTCCCTGCTTCCAACTACGATATTTACCTTTCTACTCCTGAAACACGAACCTCTTGTACTTTTTACAGGTGTCTTTCTGTTCGGAAAAGTGTCGCAAAGAAGCATGGCACACGTATCACCGATACGAGTGTTCCGTGTTCGACGTTTTTCACGAGGATGGTCCCGAGCAAACGCAACGACACACATCGCACTTGTTACTGGCTTACAGGATGACAATCGTAGGGTCCTTATCGTCGAACACTGGAAAAACAAATAACAATAACAACACGGAAGAGAACGATGTTCCGTTTCTAAACGACAATTTCCTACGGTACCGCGCAACCAGCGCGAAAAACGAGCGCAGCGATTTAGGGACAAGCGAGGCGTACAACTCCGGCGATTATCGCACCGTGTTGGAGATGGAGACTCATTGCGCGACTCTGGAACCAAACGTGAACCTTATTCGCGCTATCGAGGCGATCTTTTTATCAAAATGCTTTACTTTCGCCTTGAGTAAATTGGACATTGTTTGCTTGAAGGAAACTCTCCTCTCGTTGGCTGTAGCGACGATGCATCATTTACAGGCGATCAATTGCAACGCTTACGAGATCGTGGAGAACGTGTACGACAAGGGAACTCATGTTTGGGAACCGAGACACGTTGGCGGGGCCATTTATCCTTCGGTCAGCCTCGTGAATCACAGCTGCTATCCGAACGTCGTTCGCCATAGTTATCCATCAGGTAAACAAAAAAAAACGAGTCCACACGTTCTATAAATGTCAGCCAAGGTACGACGTTTAAATGTGAATAATTTTCGCAGGAACGGTCGTGGTTAGAGCGTTACGCTTTATCGGCAAGGACACCGAGATTCTTGATTGCTACGGGCCACATTTTCTCAGCGAGAGCAAATTACAGAGACGCGAGTATTTGTGGAAAAAGTATCGTTTTCTTTGCGCATGCGAAGCTTGCACGCAGAACTGGCAGTATCCGTTACCTGAAACAATGAATTATAACTGCAGAGCATGTTCGGGAATGATCGGCGCGCTTGCTTTGAACGAAAATGATACACGTAACGTGTCCCAATGCCTCAAGTGTGACGAGAGAATCGATTGGAGAAAATTGAACGGTCAGTTGCGTAAATCCATCGACAAACGATCGAACGCGATATCGAAGATGTACGAAGGCCGTTATGCAGAGGCTCTGATACAGTTGCTCGAGCATATACACTTTATTGAAAAGTATTTCACTGCGCCCAACATCGAGACTATCAAAACACAGCAATGTATCATTCAATGTTACAATCAATTCGGCTGTACCTCCCAACAATAATAAGTTAACAATGCGTTTTCGTATCTATATGTATATATATATATATGTATATCAGTACATGGCTTGGGATTTATATCACAAAGTATTAAAAGAAATATTTTTTTTTTTTTTACGATAACTTTTTGTATTAAATGCAATGCATTTTTCGACTCCTGCAAGGCAGTGCTGTGCAAAATGTTACAAAAAATTACGAACTGCCCTGTATTCACGACCCTTGTTCTTACAGTATACAATTGTCGATGGCTCTTGGTTTTTTACACTTTACAAATTGTCGAAAAAGTTGGTGTCCCCGATGTAAAGAAAATTAGAACATAAATTTAACAAGGCTTCTAAAATGAAATGAAATAAAATTATGGCATCAAGCACCATTGGTATTACTGGCAATACTTCAGTTTCTTAATAACGACATTCCCTGTAAATGCACGTGCTACGATACCGTTGTTCTTTTTGCGCTTATAAACGTGTAACTAAAAGAAAATGCGTAAAACCTTAAAAGTAATTGTAGCTGTAGACACTGCTTGCATGAAAAATAAAAATTATATACAGTGGTTCGACGTACGCGTTATCATTCATCGATTTATCTAACAAAAATGCCAAACTGTCTATGTTGAACTAGAACGCGACGGTGTGGACAGGTAGTGTACAAGTTCAGTTACCACATGTGTGTTTCTCGAATTTCGCTAATAATGTGACCAGCATGAGTCAGTGCCTGAAACAGAAAACACGTATGTATGTATACATCGATAATTACGCAAAATGGAACGACGTGGTTTACGTAGACGTACCTTCAGCATGTCTGCTGCTTCCTTGCGTCTAACAGCAACGTGCTCACTCTCGTTCAATAGCTGCTGAGCGTAATCCGCCTTATACAAATGAGTCACGAGCTCGCTTTGTAAATTATCTTTTACATAGTTGACTAGAAAATACATTACAGCTTTTGGTACACTGTCTTTTATAGATTTTCGTACGATATAAAAGTATGATTTTATTAGTCTCTCTGGAACATGAAACGTTTATATAAGCGAAGATAATAAAATATTAAGCACGAATTACGAATTACGAATTACGAATTCGCTTCTTATTCGTACCAATAACATCACAGTCTCGTTCTTCTCGTTCGTTGAGCTTTCGAGGTGTTAGCATCGGTACCTCCGGAAGCAGGTTTATCGATTTCTGTTGCGGAGTTTTCTGTATTTCAATCGTTGGAATTGTGTTAGGGGAGGAACCGTCGATCGAATTGCTCATCGAATCGGTTCTATCCTGAGGCAATAAATTACTTAACCAATGATTCTGATGGCCCTGTTGCTCCTTACTCTGCTCGGAAAAAGTTGGCAGTTCATCTTGACTGTTAACTGACTTTACACTCTGTCAGGGATACGTTAAGTGTTTAATTACGTGGCACTCTCGATACAGAAATGCAGGCATTCGTTATATCATCTTGTCGATTAAACATAAAATGTTCGATCTTATCGTTTACAAGGGTACAATAAGGTAAACCATTAGTCACTGCCGCGAGAAGAAGGCCCAGCGTGTTTACATCCTCACTCCTGTTGCTGAGATGTAAATACGCAGTGTCTTCTTCTCGCCGAAAGGGCGATACATACAAAGTGCTCGGAAGTAATTTTACATACTTTTCATAAATACTTACCCCTGTGTCGTTTTGAATTATAGTACTTGACGCGCTCGAGGATGAACCCAGCTTTTTATTTCGTTTAAGATTATCCGTGTCGTTCGATAGCAAAGACGACGCAAGAGCAGCGTCTTTATGAAAATCTGGATGCTTGGTATTGATATACGCTAATTCTATGGCGACCAAATTTTCAACCATGGTATTAGTAGGCGGAAGACGCCGTCGTAACAAGTGCGTAACAACGTCGACGATGCGCTCGTGCAACTTTGGGAAACGTAACATCTCGTGTTGCACCTCGGTGCCGCAGTGCAGTATAATTCTTTGCATTTCCTCGTGGACGAGTTCCACGCACCGTAAAGATGGTTCCTCGAGTCTTCGAATTTGTCGTTTGACCAGCAACTCGAACGAGACTTCCGGTATAAATAGAGCAGGTCTTGGCCCAGTCGCGTTTCGTATGGCCGTTAGAACGTCCAATTTCGTCAGACCGGCCAGCGGATGAATGGAGTCGAGCCTTCGACCGAATGTTTCGTGAAAAATGTAACAGATCCGTGCACCGCCGCACAACTCCGTCGTTCCTATATTCCTAGCCGTTCCCTCGATCGTTGAGCAATAGCTGCTTGCAAATTTCGTAATGATTTGCAGCAATGTTTGCGTCTTGTCGCTCACGTCGTCGCCGAACGAGGAAAGCAGTGTTTGAAATTGCGAGACCATCACATTTACTCTCGCCTGTTTTCAAAAAATATAAGTTCTACCAAATTATGCCCGTCTTAGTCCTTTCTAGTTACGGTAACGGTGAATTTTTAGTATTCGTGAACAACATTATTACCTTTAACTCTGGTAGGCAATCTCTGATGTGAGTCATAAGTAAACGGTTCAATGTTTTGGCTAGATAAGGGGTTCCGTTTCTGTTCGCTAACGTAGGATACTTGCGTTGTAAAAATGCAGCCTCGTCCTTCAATGAATCTTTAATACTTTTATTATTCATTATATCTTGCTGAGAACGATTAACTACGCCAATAATTCCTAATTTTACAGGAATTACTCTACCACATAATATATCTATGGCATCGGTACCTAGAACAATATTTGATACAGTGATTTTGTCGATCCGTCCTGGTAAAATAGAAATTTAAAAGGATAGTGTACCAGCATCCATTAGATCTAATTTAGTTACGACGGCTAAAGTACGCCTGCCTTCTGGATCTACATCCTTGCTAAGTTTTAAGCTTTCGCTCGTAGCCATGTCCGTGTTGGCAGTGACGACAGCTAATATAATAGAGTTAGGATTACATATGTACTTTAATACAAGTTGGCGTATTTGGCTTTCGATATCTTCAGGTTGGTCGCCGACTGGCACCTTTGTGATACCAGGAAGATCTATGAGCGTGAGATTAACAACAGACGTCGAATATATCTTCAAATTGATTGGTTCTGGACAAATCCCTTTGTTGGTTCCAGCCATGCGCTCTGTTTCCAATTCAATTTCTCTACAAATATCATTGAAGTCTCTGTAAATTTTATTTTTCGCGTGTAAAAATGTACCCCACTCGTTCATATCGCACGTTCCGTTCTCTGCGTTTCTATTTTCGTCTACCACATCTATAGGCGAATAGATAAGTTGCAGTACTAAAGGACGTCGAGTAACTATACCGGTGCCGCGTGGTAAAAAAGATCGTCCAACCAGGCTTTCGATTAAAGATGACTTTCCCGAACTCTGAAAAGAATATTAATATATGTATTTAACGTTGCATTGAAAGTATTCTGTAGAAATTATAAAAAATTGATTTTTCTCTATTCTTTTAGAGCACAAAGAATGTTGTACGATTCATAATATAAAACTTAAAGATTTAATATATAAATTAGCTTAATTTACTGATCCGTTCGACCAGGCGTTTAGTTATTCGAAGAGAAAATATTTTTATTGAAATTGTAATTACGATAGGGTCACATGAATCTATTATCTTTCGTAATTTAAAAAATACCAACTGACCTGTGCGCCAAGTACGACGATCTGAGGTAATTGTATAGCATCTGAACCGAGAGTGTTAAATACATCTTGTAATTTATTTATTACTGGTATTAAAGCTTCCATTGTAGAAGAATAAGCACAAGGTGAATCGATCGGGACGATTACGCGGTAAGAGCCGGTGGAGAATGCCTTTTTGTTACAGACGTTCTTTTAATCACATACGACGTTGACAGCGAGAAATCCTTTTCTAAAAAATTCCCGATTCTATTGTAAACGTTACCGATTTCTGTAGCGACTTTCGAACTGCTAAAATTTCCGTTACAAATCACTGCAACAAATTTACACCTGCTTCTCGATCCGCACGCGTGCGCATGTCACGCCAGTGTGGCCAGATCTGGCGTAATCGAGTGCAGCGACGTCGACGTTAGTAACGACGAACTTCCTTAGTGTCTAACGGACTGGCGGGGATGGCAGACGTATACTGCCGCACGGGCCACGTGTACGTGAGCTCGTCACTTCGCGCAACCTCGGGAAATTGATAAAGAACGCTGGTGTGAGCCTCTCCTTTTTGCTCTTGTAAAATACACGAAGATGCTAGGAATATTATTATAAGGAATTATAAACGTAACCTCAAAAAACGTAATAAGTTGAATGTATGATTAAATGATGACTGATACAGCAGATCACGTACACGTGACAGTGGCGAACGACTACTAGCTTGCAAAGTCACGTATACGTGACAGCGGCCTTCAAATTGTTGACTGTTATATCTGAGATCGTATTTCAGCTGTTACAAGAGCAAGAAGGAAAGACACACACTCGTCTTCTTTCTCGATTTCCCGAAGTTGCGCGAAGTGCCGAGCTCACGTACACGTGGCTCGGTAGTGTATGCCTGCTATCCCCACCACTCCATTAAACGCTAAGGAAGTTCGTCGTTACTAACGTCGACGTCGCCTGCACTCAATTACGCCATATCTGGCCACGCTGTGCGCATGTCACGTTTTATCACGTACGTTACATACGAGCCTGAAATCGCATACTTAAAGTGACGTTTCTATCGTGCAAATGCGAAAACCATCCTATAATAATAATAGCAGTCACCTGTGAGGACTCAGCCCGGAAATATATCCCCAATCAAACGTAAATTTCATAACTACGCACGATCGACGACTGTTCCTGTTTGGTGGAAATGTCATTGAAAAAGTAGACGCGAAATTCTTGCAATTCTGGCCCCGATCGAAGCGAACATGAAAACGGGCCAAAGCGATGGGTAAGAAAATGGCGGTATCGTTAGAAAATCGTTACAGCTTGTAAGTACTTCTGTGCTGTAGTCTATGCCTACTACAGTTCGTCATCACTCGTGTGACAGTTCATCCTGGAGCGGGGGTCGACCGATCACCCGCTCAAGATTTTAAAGATTTTGCGATACCGATTGCCGCGGGATGGGTGACTCCTTGGACGGCTCCGGGGAACCGTCCCCGGAGTCTCAGATTGTTACGGTCGTGGGTTATTGGGAGTTTGCTAATTATTTAAAAAAGGTCGTGATGGTACTTCTGCCCGACGAAGATGTGGTACCACCCGCGTTCGTTTCTGCTCTCGACGACAAGAACAATCAGGAGTACGTGAAAAAATTTTTGAACGACTCACAGGTGTGGGCGCTTTACATACAAAGGAATTCCAGTAAAGGTGCGTAGGCCAGAAAACGATATTTCCGATATTACTGTACGGATTCGCCGTTTGCGAATCTTCCACTCTGCCCCCGTTGCGATATCCTCCATTGCGGTCGTCCGATACAACGGTACATTAAGCCGCGGCGACAGGAAACGTATTCTGAAAATTAATGTGGCACTTGCCGTCCCCATGCATTTGCATTTCTCCCGATTATGACTCACGCCTTGATATAATCGATACGCGTAACGACATCGCTACATTGTTTTCGATGATACATTGTACACCGTATTTTATCATTGTCGTAAAAATGCGCCGGTGCGCAATGTTTCGCGCCGATAATGCTTTCATACACATTTACGTTCGAAGGCGAATTTTTTCACGTTGGCTTATCAAGGGGAAAAGAAAACAAATTTTCCTACGACCTATTTTCATGAATATTACGCATCTTCTGTCCATATCGTATCTAAAAAATAATTCATTTTCAAAAAGAAGTTCTTCAAACTTAAACAAAAATCTGTGCGATTTATGTACGAATTTATTATAATTATTCTGATTAATTTATCAGCTTCTACATTGCAAATTGTTGCTTTTACTTTGTGTAATGTTTAACACGTTCACTGCCAGATCAAAATCATAATATTCTGCGAAAGTAAAATTTTTATTTTAAACCGTTGTGAGCTACTTAACCTAAAATTTGTTTCAGTATTTATTTATTTCCCTCGACGTCGTAATTTGAGAATTAATTTTTCTAATATCGTAATGGTGAATACTGTCAAATTAATACTTTAATTTGTTATCTTTCAGAGGAAGACAGCAATGAAGCAGACGAAGAGAAAGAAAATTGTGTTTTCTATATATCGAACGAGATACATTTTACTAATCCTAAAATGGCCTCCTTAGTTATAACAAAGCGTGGAGCTATAGTCGAAGCCGATAAGACTATCCATTCGCAATTGCGTCTAGTAACGTTCTCGGACGGACCGCCTTACGAAACTTTGCACGCTATAAGCAAAACTATGGCTCCGTATTTTAAGAGCTACGTGAAGGAAACAGGTCGTGCGGACCGAGACGGTGATAAAATGGCACCAACCGTGGAAAAGAAGATAGCAGAACTCGAAATGGGTTTGTTGCATTTACAACAGAACATAGATATTCCTGAAATTTCGCTGCAAATTCATCCAGTCGTTGCACAAGTGATTAAACAATGCGCCGAAGAGAATCGCAAGCCTAAAGTTGCTGATTTTGGCGATAAGGTTGAAGATTCAACATTCCTGAACCAGTTGCAGAATGGTGTCAATAGATGGATAAAGGAAATTCAAAAGGTAAGTAATTTTAAAACATTCGTATACGTCTTGTACCATATTGTCATAAATTTCATTTGCGTAGGTCACCAAATTAAATCGTGATCCAGAGTCGGGCACTGCTCTTCAAGAAATTTCATTCTGGTTAAATCTGGAGAGAGCGTTGCACCGGATACAAGAGAAACGAGAGAGTATAGAAATATCTTTGACTCTGGATATACTCAAGCATGGAAAGAGATTCCATGCGACGGTTAGTTTTGATACGGACACTGGGTTGCAACAAGCTCTGGCTACAGTCAACGATTACAATCCATTGATGAAGGACTTCCCAATTAACGATTTACTATCGGCAACGGAACTTGAAAGAATACGGATCAGTATTCAGCAAATTTTTATGCATATACGGAAAATTAGAAGCACAAAGTACCCTACTCAGAGAGCACTGAGGCTGATAGAAGCCATCTCCAGAGATCTAGGGCAACAACTCCTCAAAGTGTTGGGCACAAGAAGATTAATGCACATTCCATTCGACGAGTTCGAGAAAGTTATGGGACAGTGTTTCGAAGTATTCAACGCGTGGGACGACGAGTACGAAAAATTAACGGGATTATTGAGAGACCTTATAAAGAAGAAACGCGACGAACATATGAAAATGGTATGGAGGATCACGCCTATGCACAAGAAGTTGGAAGCCAGAATGGAACATATGCGACAGTTCCGTCGACAGCACGAACAACTCAGGACAGTTATTGTTCGCGTACTTAGACCCACAGTACTTCAGAGTAATAATACCGCCACGTTGGAGAATCCTGATAACGATAAAGCCGAGTTTGCTTTGGACGCGGCGGACGCAAATGCCATCAGCGAAGTAAATTTAGCGTACGAGAACGTGAAAGAGATCGACTGCCTCGATATTACCAAAGAGGGTCTTGAATCCTGGAAAGCTGCTGTACATAGGTACGAGGAACGCATAGAAAGAGTCGAAGCAAGGATCACAGCACACCTGAGAGATCAATTGGGTATCGCGAAAAATGCAAACGAAATGTTTCGTATCTTCTCGCGTTTCAACGCGCTCTTCGTGAGACCGCACATTCGAGGCGCCATTAGAGAATACCAGACACAATTGATACAGAGAGTAAAAGACGATATCGAAGCTCTGCACGAAAAGTTTAAGGTATAAGAAACCTGGACTTCCGAAAGATTTTATAAATTTCGGTAAACCTTATGTTTAGGGGAGACAGCTCTATGATCTTGACCTTGATTCATGTTGTCAAGGTCACCCTCTTGAGTAACATCCAAGAGATTTTAGTTGTTCGTTTTTTATTAAGAAGTTATTAGCATATTTTATTAAAAATGGTGTTGGTATTAGTTAGTGTAGTTTTTTGGGGGGTTCTGGGGGATTTAGCCCCCCAGTCAGCAAAACGAATTTAATATGATACTGTTCAACCCATGGGGGATGTTTTATTTTATGCTCCGCAGGGCTCGTAGAACAAAATTCCATATTCTTGTTTTTTGTTTCCGGTAATTTTTATATACTAATAACTTTTTAATAAAAAACGAGAGGTAGCTATACAGTAACGAGTAAAACTGAACACACATACATTTTAACAAAAATAATTTTGTATTCAATATTTGCATATTAGAATACAAGAAAGATAAAATACTTAGTATTATCTATAATATTCTGGCTCTTCAAAACAAATTAAACATTTCGGATTTTGGTACATTTAATATTTCGTTCATAAACCTTTAACCTTGATAATTGCTTCAACATGTTTAGACATTATTACATTTTCACAAAAATTACAGTTTAAATAGCCAATAGTCACCATTTTTTACGCATGACGAGTATACTCGTCAATCACAGCTAACTGGGTAAGTATGCCCAGAAATTTTCAATCGGGTTTATGTCTAACCTTTGAGCAGGCCATTACCATGGTTTGAAATAGTTGAGTTTGCAGCCAATTCTTAGCACAATGCCTAGGAGCGTTATTGGAATACAACATCAACTCTGATACTAGCATATTTTCAATTGTTTCTAATAAATCTTTTTCTAAAGTTTCCTTATATGTATACTGGTTCACCGTACTCTTCTATTCGGTGTAGTGATCCTACATCATACGCAGTAATACACTCCCTCACTATAAGTGACACACCATGAAATTTCATTGCTTGTTTCACATGACGTGGTATAAGAGGTTCGTCTTGCTTTTTCCAACACCAACAACATCCATCCGATGGCATTCGATTGATTTTTGATTCATTGGAAATAATTACTTTTTTCCAGCTTAAATGTTTCCTTGAAAAATTCAGACAGACCTTGACATTCTGTTTTTTCTTCTTAATTGCTGTAAAATTGGCTTCTTTTAATGCTCTCCGAGATGTCCACTTACTAATTTCCTTTCCAACATCGCTTTCTAACAGCTTTATCTTGTCAATCTTCTCTTATCCTGACAAGATAATAATTTTGGACGGTCTCCAAAAGATGCAGGGACTTAATTACATTTTCTCTGTATTGTATGTACAATACCCTGACTAACAGCAAATTTTCTAGCAATTACTTCCGTTGCTAAACTCAATTTTAATTGGAAAATGATGTTATTCTTTATATCTTTAGATAGTGATTTCATAATGTTATATTGATGCAATTCTATTGCACCAGAGTATTGCGAAACTGTAGTATCAAGTATACCCAAACGTATCGAAGCAAATTTTCAAGGTTGAAAGTTTATGGACAAAATATTAAGTGTACCAAAATCTGAAATGTTTACTAAAAATTAGTTGCTGTGCAAAACCGACAACGCGAAAAGAAATTATAACAAGCTAAATAATAATATCACAAATGTTAAATTTGTTTTGAAAAGCCAGAAGATTGTAGATAATACTATTTTGTTTCTTTTGCATTCTAACTGCAAATATTGAATAAGAAATTATTTTTGTTAAAATGTATGTGTGTTCAGTTTTGCTCTTCGCTGTAACTTTTTGAGGGACGCTCAAGAGTGTGACCTTCATAAATTATGTGAACGTTATGGTCACATTGAGTATACGTATACGCAGAGTCTAGTGTAATATTAATAACTTTTTAACATTCAGGAAGGGTGACCTCGATAACATATGTCATGGTTAAGGTCATCGCAGCTGCCTCCCCTAAACGTAAGGCTCACCTAAACTTCAACTAATTATTGCGTTACAGGTTCAATATGCACAAAGCAAATGTTGTAAAATGAGCATAGTCAGAGACTTGCCTCCTGTCGCTGGATCCATTATCTGGGTTAAACAAATAGATTACCAGCTCACGATGTACTTAAAACGGGTTGAGGATGTATTAGGTAACTATTGAAATTATCTTGTACGTTTCGATGGAGTATTCATTTGATTTTCTTCGTTAGGTAAAGGATGGGAGAGTCACATCGAAGGGCAAAAGTTGAAGGCGGATGGTGACAGCTTTCGCATGAAACTGTCTACTCTGGAAATATTTAACGAGTGGGCGCGGAAAGTGCAACAAAGGAACCTCGGCGTTACCGGGAGAATTTTTACAATAGACAATGTACGATCGCGTACGGGACGCGGGAACGTGTTGAAATTGAAAGTGAATTTCCTTCCTGAAATTATCACGTTATCGAAGGAAGTGAGAAACTTGAGGAATCTCGGTTTCCGTGTACCGTTACCTATTGTTAATAAAGCGCATCAGGCCAATCAACTGTACCCGTTCGCGATCAGCCTGATCGACAGCATCAGAACATACGAGAGAACTCTCGAGAAGGTAATCCTTCGTTGTGTGTTTCTCTTAATTTTTATCACACAATTTCTAAAATTTACGTAAGATTTTCAAGAGACATTCGTCGTTCTAGTAGCAACTAAGTTTCATTTTCTAGATGTTTCTGCACCGTGATTTATCATTGTTACAATAACGCAAGATATTTAAATCTTGAAGATATGAATTTTTTTTAAAATAGAAAATAATAGGAAATAGAGCCAGGTTAAAGGTTTACATATTAGTAATACTGATATTTCTAATTTCTTGGATCTCCAATATTTTTAGCTTACCAATTGGAGTCCCCACTGCTCCGCATTGAAGGTAGTCATACATGATGCTTTCAGGCATTATGCATCTTGCCTACATTTGCAAATTATTATTGTATGCCTGCTTAGCTCTTGTAGAAGAATATGTACTGCAAGATGATACGATTTTGTTTTAGTATACAATGGACAATTTAAAGAAACTAGTACGAGTCCGTCTGAAGTATGAGTAGGTGAATTGTATGGATGTGCGGGGGGACCTGGATAAATTGGAGTCTTTTCTTTTCATTTTCAATGAAGATTATCCGTAAACTTTTGATTCGATGAACGAAAAAAGTAACGCGATTTCTCTTCCGTTTGGTTCGAAATTTATAGTGTTTAATTTTTATTTAAAAGGTTTGGCTATCCGCACATTCCGAAAGTTGCTTGTAATTGATATGGTGACATCTTGTGTTTCTCTGTTTCTGTAATATTTAAAGCGCAGATAAAAATTATCGTACGATTTCTTAGCATCGGCTATGAACATGTAAAACTTTTGTTTGCATTCTTTGTAATGTACATTATTGAATGATGAATCGTAATTTATGTCGTAAAATTGTATTGGTATTTCCAGTAATGTGTTTTTTGTCGATTACGTTTCATAATTTCTGGTTTCTTCCTAGATCGAAGACAAGGCCAGTATCGTGCCTTTGGTCGCTGGGATGCGCAACGACGTTCTGTCGCTTATTTCCGAGGTAAATTTTCATACTAAACTATGAAGAGTATACTCGAATAAACGGGTCAAATGTGACCTTGAACCAAAGTTGACATAAGATGAATCCATCGATAGAGAATCAAAATCAAACATTCTGTGCCAAGTTTCAACCCTCCATCTTGTTCGGAAGGGTAGTTATGGAGGAAATTCGGATTATCGAATTTGTGCCTGTTTTTCGTATTTAATCGAGTTCGAAAATTACGTAAAAAATCTAGTACATCGAGATACGTGTTTGAGAATTTTTTTCGATTTTTCGATTCCAAATTGTAGGCGTGAAAAATTAAAAATGCAGGAAAATACCGATTTCGTATTAAAGCCCTGGGAAAAATTTTAATGGGGGATTCTGGAGGCCAAAATAAGACGAAAATTAAGAATACTAATTTGTTGATGGAGGCTTCGTTAAAAAGTTATTAACAGTCGACAGGGGGGAAGTCCCCAAATTTTTCGACGAAAAAGAAAAATTTCAAATCGTCCTAAAAAAATTATTTTCGGTTGTAAGGGTCAATTGCAATCATTTTTTATGATTACACATACCCTTGAAATCCTACTCACTTTCGAGAAAAAAATTCGAGTAGGTATTGAAATTTCCAGACGAAATTAAAAAATTTCAAATCATAATAAAAAAATTATATTTAGTTACAGAGGTTAATTACAAGCATTTTTGGTGAATAGACATACCCCGAAATTTTATCCAGTTTCGAGAAAAAAATTCGAGTAGGTATTGAAATCTTCAGACGAAATTAAAAAATTTCAAATCATAATAAAAAAATTATATTTAGTTACAGAGGTCAATTACAATAATTTTTGATGAATAGACCTACCCCCGAAATTCTACCCAGTTTCGAGAAAAAAATTCGAGTATGAACAGAAATTTTTAGACGAAATTAAAAAATTTCGAATCGTTCTGAAAAAATTATACTTAGTTACAGGGGTCAATTACAAGCATTTTTGGTGAATTGACTTACACCGAAAACCTACGCACTTTCGAGAAAAAAATTCTTTATCGAAAATTTAATGTGAGATGCTTCTTTAAATTTCATGCGAATCTTTAAAATGTCATAATTCCTGAACGGATTGGAGGATTTTAATTTTTCAAAATCCAAACAACGCGTATTTTACTGGAGAATATGTAGAAATTCTAACAATATTGAAAAAGTTGTTCCTTGACACCGTAAACTGAAAAAAACCCCCCCAAAAACTGATCCAATTTTCAAACGACCATAACTCCTACAATAGTGAAAGTATCTCATTGAAATTTTTTCCTGAAGTAGAGCTCGCGGATACCTACAAAAAAGTATTAAACAACTTTTCTATAGGGCGCCAAACAAAATTATTAAAAATCAAAAACGAATCTTAAGAAAAATTGATAGAGGGGAAGTCCCTAAATTTTTCAACAGAAAAAAAAAAAATTTCAAATCGTTCTAAAAAAATTATTTTCGGTTGCAGGGGTCAATTGCGATCATTTTTGGTGAATACACAAACTCTTGAAATCCTAGCCACTTTCGATAAAAAAATTCGTGTAGGTACTGAAATTTTTAGACGAAATTAAAAAATTTCAAATCATAATAAGAATTTAATGGGAGATTCTAGAGACTAAACTAAGATGAAAATCAAGAATATCTATTTGTTGATTGTGGCTTCGTTAAAAAGTTATTAACAGTTGCCGATCTAGGCAACACAGAACACTATCTGGCACAGATTGTTTCATTTTGATTCTCTATCGATGGATCCATCGTAAAATTTGATTCAAGGTCACATTTGATCCCTTTGCATTACTTTTCACTCATTAACTCTTCATACTCAGGGAATCGCTCTCATCTGGGAAAGTTATAAGTTGGATCAGTACGTGCAACGTCTATCAGATGTCGTCGTCTCGTTCCAAGAAAAAGTGGAAGACCTGGTGGTGGTCGAGGAACAACTGGACGTGGACGTTCGTTCCCTCGAAACATGTCCATACTCGGCAAACACCTTCGCCGACATACTTTCAAAAATACAAAAGGCTGTGGACGAGCTGTCCTTAAAGAACTACTCCAACTTGAATATCTGGGTAGCCAGACTCGACGAGGAGGTAGAAAAGAATTTAGCCGCCAGATTGGAAGCTGGAATAAAGGCGTGGACCGACGCTCTTACCGGTCAGAAGAAAGAAGTTGATCTTAGTATGGACACCGATGCACCGTCTCAGCCAACGCACAAACCTGGCGGCGACCCAAAGATTCAGAATCAGATTCACGAAGTTCGCATAACGAACCAGACCATGTACTTGTATCCGAGCATAGAGGACGCTAGGTTCCAAATAATGCAACAGCTGTTCGCGTGGCAGGCGATCGTCACCTCGCAAATGCGTCTCCAAAGCTCGAGGTATCAAGTAGGTCTGGATAAACCAGAGTCTGGCACCTACAGGAACCTTCTCACGAAATTGCCCGCTGGTAAACAACCTCTGGAGGCAGCCTACAACGCGGTCGAGTCCAAAATGAGGGACGTGGCCGATTACGTGGACCAGTGGTTGCGTTACCAGGCGCTCTGGGACCTGCAGCCGGATAATTTGTACGGCAAACTGGGCGAGAACATAAACTTGTGGATGAAATGCTTGAACGACATCAAGAAAACTAGAACCACCTTCGACACGTCCGACACCAGACGCGAATTCGGCCCTGTTATAATCGGTTACGCGAAGGTGCAAAGCAAGGTATCCTTGAAGTACGATTCGTGGCACAAAGAGACGTTGGGTAAGTTTGGTACTCTACTTGGGAATGAGATGTCGAGCTTCCATTCGCAAGTATCGAAGTCCAGAAGCGATTTGGAGCAACAGTCCATCGAGGCTGCCAGCACATCAGATGCAGTTGGGCTGATAACTTATGTGCAATCTTTGAAACGTAAGATGAAAGCGTGGGAGAAGCAAGTGGACGTGTACCGCGAGGGTCAGAGGATATTGGAACGCCAGAGGTTCCAGTTCCCGTCCTCGTGGCTGCACGTGGACAACATCGAGGGCGAGTGGGGAGCATTTAACGAGATACTGAAGAGAAAGGACACGAGCATACAAACGCAAGTAGCCTCGTTGCAAATGAAGATCGTCGCGGAGGACAAGGCGGTCGAGATAAGGACCTCCGACTTCCTGAGCGACTGGGAAAGAGGCAAACCAGTCGAGGGTCATCTGCGCCCGGACGACGCGTTGCAACAGCTGCAGCTCTTTGAAAGTAAATTCGCTAGGTTGAAAGAGGAGAGGGACAACGTGGCGAAGGCTAAAGAAGCTTTGGAGTTGCAAGAACCGGGAGGAGTATCCACCAGCGAGGATAGGATGCAAGTGGTGTTCGAGGAGCTTCAAGACTTGAGAGGCGTTTGGTCAGAACTGTCAAAGATATGGTCTCAGATCGACGAGACCCGCGAGAAGCCTTGGCTGTCCGTTCAGCCGAGGAAATTACGTCAACAATTGGACACGATGATGGCGCAGTTGAAGGAACTACCCGCCAGACTCAGACAGTACTCTTCATATGAATACGTTAAGAAGATGCTGCAAAGTTACACGAAAGTCAACATGTTGATAGTCGAATTGAAGTCCGACGCTTTGAAGGAGAGACACTGGAAGCAACTGACGAAGCAGCTTCGAGTCAACTGGGTGCTGAGCGAGCTTACCCTCGGCCAAGTCTGGGACGTGAACCTGCAGAAGAACGAAGGAATAGTCAAAGACATCATCCTCGTGGCGCAGGGTGAAATGGCGCTGGAAGAGTTCTTGAAACAGGTCCGCGAGTCCTGGCAAACGTACGAACTGGATCTGATAAATTACCAAAATAAATGTAAGTTGATTCGCGGTTGGGACGACCTCTTTAACAAGGTCAAAGAGCACATCAATTCGGTGGCTGCGATGAAGCTGTCGCCCTACTACAAAGTCTTCGAGGAGGAGGCGTTGACTTGGGAAGAGAAACTGAACAGAATCAACGCGTTGTTCGACGTCTGGATAGATGTACAAAGACGTTGGGTGTACTTGGAGGGTATCTTCTCGAGCAGTGCAGACATCAAAACGCTGTTACCCGTTGAAACGTCTCGTTTCCAGAGCATCAGCTCCGAGTTTCTAGGTCTGATGAAGAAAGTGTCGAAATCCCCTATGGTCATGGACGTTCTGAACATTCCTGGCGTGCAGAGGGCGCTGGAACGTTTGGCTGACTTGCTTGGCAAAATACAGAAAGCTTTGGGAGAGTATCTGGAGAGAGAACGTACCTCGTTCCCGCGGTTCTATTTCGTGGGAGACGAGGACCTGCTGGAAATCATTGGCAACAGTAAGAACATCGCCAGGCTGCAGAAGCACTTCAAGAAGATGTTTGCAGGCATAGCAGCTATTCTCCTGAGCGAGGACAACACCATTATTACAGGCATAGTGTCCCGCGAGGGGGAGGAAGTACTGTTCCAGAATCCAGTGTCTACCGTGGACTATCCCAAGATCAACGAATGGCTGACCCTCGTCGAGAAAGAGATGAGAGTCACCCTGGCGTCGAGTTTGGCAAGAGCAGTACAGGACATCAAGCAGTTCAAAGACGGTAACATCAATCCACAGGCGTTCATGACATGGTGCGACTACTACCAGGCACAGATCATCGTCCTGGCTGCTCAGATCTTGTGGTCGGAGGATGTCGAGGCGGCTCTGCACGAATCCCAAAACGATCCAAGCAAGAACCCCTTGGAAAGAGTGCTGTTGCAAGTGGAGGGCACGTTGAACGTTCTGGCGGACTCTGTCCTCCAAGAGCAGCCTGCTTTGAGGCGAAAGAAGCTGGAGCATTTGATCAACGAGTTCGTGCACAAGCGCACAGTGACCAGAAGATTGATCGCTAACAACGTCTCCAATCCAAAGGCGTTCGAATGGCTGTGTGAAATGAGATTCTACTTTGACCCTAGGCAGACCGAGGTTCTCCAACAGCTCACCATACACATGGCGAACGCCAAGTTCTTTTACGGGTTCGAGTACTTGGGGGTGCAAGACAGGTTGGTGCAGACACCTTTGACGGACAGGTGTTACCTGACGATGACCCAGGCTTTGGAGGCTCGTCTAGGTGGCTCTCCGTTTGGACCAGCCGGAACAGGAAAGACAGAGTCGGTGAAAGCGTTGGGCCATCAGCTTGGAAGGTTCGTGTTGGTGTTCAATTGCGACGAGACCTTCGACTTCCAGGCCATGGGTCGCATCTTCGTTGGTCTCTGCCAGGTCGGTGCGTGGGGTTGCTTCGACGAGTTCAATCGTTTGGAGGAGCGTATGCTCTCCGCTGTCTCTCAGCAAGTGCAGACCATTCAGGAGGCATTGAAGAGCCAGATGGAGGGGAAGAAGGAAGGAATGCTCTGCGTGGAGTTGGTTGGCAAGCAAGTGAAAGTCTCCACGGACATGGCGATCTTCATCACCATGAATCCAGGCTACGCTGGACGATCCAATCTTCCCGACAACCTGAAGAAACTCTTCAGGTCGTTGGCCATGACCACGCCGGATAGACAGTTGATCGCTGAGGTGATGCTCTTCAGCCAAGGATTTAGGTCTGCTGAGAAACTGGCGTGCAAGATTGTACCATTCTTCAAGTAAGCTTCTCAGATTTCAAAATTACCTTTTTTAAAATATTGTTAATCCGAAACATGCTGTATCTGCAGGCTGTGCGACGAGCAACTGTCTGATCAGTCCCATTACGATTTTGGTCTTCGAGCTCTGAAGTCAGTGCTCATTTCCGCCGGAAATGTCAAACGTGACCGCATCCAGAAGATCAAGGAAGGCATGCAGAATCGCGGCAAGACGAACATCGACGAGGCCTCGATCGCTGAGAACTTGCCCGAGCAAGAGATCCTCATCCAATCCGTTTGCGAGACAATGGTGCCAAAGTTGGTCGCTGAAGATATTCCACTACTGTTCAGTTTGCTGAACGATGTGTTCCCCAATGTAAATTACACGCGTGCAGAGATGAAAGGCAAGTTTACATGCTTTGCACCTTGCATGAGCTCAACAGTGTCTTTTCTAACAAGTCAAATCTTTGCAGGATTGAAAGATCAGATCAGAAAGGTGTGCATGGAGGAGTATCTGGTGTGTGGCGAGGGCGACGAGCAAGGAGGAGCTTGGCAAGAAAAGGTAACGCAAAACACCAGAGTATCGATCACTGTAAATAATCATTACATGCATTACCCTCGGCATGCAAAACTAGTATAACGATTGAATTTTTTTTTTTAAATTGCCATGTTTTCCTAACGTCTAAATTGTTTATCGCACTCTCAGGATATGATCGGTGAGACCTGGCTAGGAAAGGTGAGAGAAAGTCTGAACTGTCTGTGATCAGTATCGCATGATTTTGTATCTTTTTACTTTCCCTAGATGTATTGTACCCTGTCTCGTAAATTCGCATGAGTATCATCCTCGTCCCCTTTCGATTGGTCGTGGTTTCTAACGATGCTTCGGTTTAGGTACTGCAACTCTATCAAATCTGCAACCTGAACCATGGACTGATGATGGTGGGGCCCAGCGGTTCTGGTAAAACAATGGCGTGGAAGGTGCTCCTGAAAGCTCTGGAGAGATTCGAAGGAGTGGAAGGCGTTGCACACGTCATTGATCCAAAAGCAATCAGCAAAGAGACGTTGTATGGTGTGCTGGATCCAAATACCCGCGAGTGGACCGACGGTCTCTTCACGCACATCCTCCGTAAGATCATCGACAACGTGAGAGGAGAGATCAACAAGAGACAGTGGATCATATTCGACGGGGACGTTGATCCCGAATGGGTGGAGAATCTGAACTCCGTGCTGGACGACAACAAACTGCTCACTTTGCCAAACGGCGAACGTCTGAGTCTACCGCCAAACGTGAGGGTCATGTTCGAGGTGCAGGATCTGAAGTACGCCACGTTGGCCACCGTTTCTCGTTGCGGTATGGTTTGGTTCTCCGAGGACGTGCTGTCCACGGAGATGATATTCGAGAACTACATGCTACGTTTGCGTCACATCCCGCTGGAGGACGGCGAGGAAGACAATCTGAGCAAAAAGGCATCTGAGAAGGAGGACACGGTGTCACCAGCGTTGTCCGTGCAGAGGGAAGTCGCCAGCATCTTGCAGAGCTACTTTGCTCCCGATGGCTTGGTAGTGAGATGCTTGGAGTACGCCATGAAGCAGGAACACATAATGGACTTCACTCGTTTGCGTGCACTGAGCTCCCTGTTCTCCATGCTGAACCAATCTGTACGCAACGTTCTTCAGTACAATCACTCTCACACTGACTTCCCCTTGCCCAGCGAGCAGCTGGAGCGTTACATGCCAAAGTGTCTGGTGTACGCTCTGCTGTGGAGCTTCGCTGGCGACGCGAAATTGAAGGTCAGATCCGATTCCGGAGACTTCGTCAGGTCCATCACTACCGTGCCTCTACCGACGCAGAGTAACATTCCTATCATAGACTTCGAAGTCAGCATTCACGGCGAATGGTTGCCTTGGAGCAACAAGGTACCTCAGATCGAAGTGGAAACGCACAAGGTAGCTAGTCCAGACATCGTCGTACCCACTCTGGACACCGTCAGGCACGAGAGTCTGCTGTACACGTGGTTGGCGGAGCACAAACCAATAGGTAAGTAGCCTATTTTTACAGATTTGAGTAAGACTATACCTTTATTCTTATTGCAGTGCTTTGTGGACCACCTGGGTCCGGTAAAACCATGACTCTCTTCTCCGCCTTGCGAGCACTGCCCGACATGGAAGTCGTTGGCCTCAACTTCTCGTCAGCCACCACTCCCGAGCTGCTGCTCAAGACCTTCGATCACTATTGCGAGTACCGTAAAACACCAAACGGCGTTGTACTGTCCCCGGTGCAGCTGGGCAAATGGCTAGTCCTGTTCTGCGACGAGATCAATCTACCTGACATGGATAACTACGGAACGCAACGCGTGATCTCGTTCCTGAGACAGTTGGTAGAACACAGAGGTTTCTACAGAACCAGCGACCAGGCGTGGGTCACTCTGGAAAGGATCCAGTTCGTCGGTGCTTGCAATCCTCCGACAGACCCTGGCAGAAAACCCCTAAGTCACAGATTCCTACGACACGTTCCAGTCATCTACGTCGACTATCCGGGAGAGACGTCCTTGAAACAGATCTATGGAACGTTTACTCGCGCTATGCTCAGGTAGGATCAGAGGATCAGAGGTGAAAAGAAGAGGTTTTGATTCCTAATATGATGTTTCAGATTAACTCCTTCGTTGAGGGGCTATGCAGAACCGTTGACGAACGCCATGGTGGAGTTCTACCTGGCGTCCCAGGAAAGATTCACTCAAGACATGCAACCGCACTACGTCTATTCCCCGCGTGAGATGACCAGATGGGTACGCGGGATCTGCGAAGCCATCAGGCCTCTCGACAACCTGTCGGTGGAGGGTTTGGTGCGCTTGTGGGCCCACGAGGCCCTTCGACTCTTCCAAGACAGACTGGTGGAGGATACAGAAAGAGCCTGGACCAATAAAAACATAGACACCGTCGCCATGAAGCACTTCCTGGGTGTAGACAGGGAGAGAGCGTTGGCCAGGCCCATCTTGTACAGCAACTGGCTATCCAAGGACTATGTACCAGTCAATAGGCAAGAGCTACGAGATTACGTTAGGGCAAGGCTGAAAGTATTCTACGAAGAAGAGCTAGACGTGCCTTTGGTGCTCTTCGACGAGGTTCTCGAACACGTTCTTCGAATTGACAGAATTTTCCGTCAGCCTCAGGGACACTTATTGCTAATTGGTGTCTCTGGCGCTGGTAAGACAACTCTGTCCAGATTTGTTGCGTGGATGAACGGTTTGTCCATATTCCAAATAAAGGTACAATCTTATTTACAATTCACTCGATCCTCGTGATAAAATTTAACGTCTATCGTTTCAATAGGTGCACAATAAATATACCGGCGAAGATTTCGATGAAGATTTGCGCCAAGTGCTGAGACGTTCCGGTTGCAAGGATGAGAAGATAGCATTCATTCTCGATGAGTCCAACGTGCTGGATTCTGGCTTCCTGGAGCGAATGAACACGCTGCTCGCTAACGGAGAGGTGCCTGGTCTCTTCGAAGGTGACGAGTATACAACCTTGATGACACAGTGTAAGGAGGGCGCTCAGCGCGAGGGTCTCATGCTGGATTCCAACGAGGAGCTGTACAAATGGTTCACCGGTCAAGTCATGAAGAACTTGCACGTGGTGTTCACGATGAATCCAAGCACGGATGGCCTCAAAGACCGCGCCGCGACCTCGCCCGCGTTGTTCAACCGGTGCGTGTTGAACTGGTTCGGCGACTGGTCGGACGACGCGTTCTTCCAAGTCGGCAAGGAGTTCACCAGCCGCGTGGACCTTGAGAGACCCACCTGGAAGTGTCCAGACTTCTTCCCGTCCGTCTGCTCGCTGATCCCCTCTGTACCATCGCACAGAGACGCGGTCATAAACGCCTGCGTCTACGTCCACCAGACTTTGCACAAGGCAAACGCTAGGCTGGTGAAACGGGGCAGCAGAACCATGGCGATCACGCCTCGCCACTACCTGGACTTCATCAATCACTTCGTGAAACTCTACCAGGAGAAGAGGAGCGACCTGGAGGAGCAACAGCTGCACCTGAACGTCGGTCTGAGCAAGATTGCTGAAACGGTGGAGCAGGTGGAGGAGATGCAGAAGAGCTTGGCTATAAAGTCTCAGGTAAAGTCACCGTTTTGTAGTTGTTCTTTGCAAAGAGATTAACGAGTGGTATTTTTCAGGAGTTGCACGCGAAGAACGAGGCCGCGAATGCAAAATTGCGACAGATGGTGAAGGACCAGCAGGAGGCGGAGAAGAAGAAGGTGCAGAGCCAGGAGATTCAGCAGCAGTTGGCTATACAGACGGTGGCCATCAACCAAAAGAGGGACGACGTTGTGGTTGACCTGGCGCAGGTCGAGCCAGCCGTGATCGACGCCCAGAATGGTAGGTTGTTTGTTGCGATAATCGCGACGATGTCAAAACGAGACACTCCCATTTATTTGCAATTGTGACACGTGTCCCACGTCGCGCTGAAACCGTTATAATGAGCGTAGCTGTCAAGGGGATTAAGCGGCAGTATCTTGTCGAAATACGATCGATGGCAAATCCCCCCAGCATCGTAAAGCTGGCTTTAGAGTCGATATGCCTGTTGCTCGAGGAGAACGCTACCGATTGGAAACAGATTCGCGCCGTCATTATGAAGGATAGCTTCATACCGACCATCGTCAACTTCAACACGGAGGCCATCACGTAAGGAAAATACCAATTATTCAGTGATTGCTGAATGTTCGATACTCGCAACCTGGGAACCTACCGAGGCAAAACCGTTACCATAACCGCTTGACACATACATGTCATGTAATTTTGGCTGGATACACTTGTTTACGTATGGTCACGTTCTTATGAGCAACTAGAAAGATGGTAATTGGTTTTTGTGATGATTGTAAGGACGTGATACGTAAATGCGTATACACTGTGTAAATAAAGTATCCGTGATCTCTAACTTTATAGGTCAGCTGAAAATGACGCGCCCCAAGCCTGCTGCGGAGCTTTTTTCTTACAATAACATTGTAACTTTTCTAATTGCACCATGCCTGCACTTGATTTGTCACCACTGTACTATATAAAATTCGTTTCGTTTTTTCCGTATAGCGGTGAAATCGATAAAGAAACAGCATTTAGTCGAAGTACGGTCCATGGCGAATCCGCCGGCGACCGTGAAGGTCGCGTTGGAGTCTATCTGCTTATTGCTCGGTGAGAATGCCAGTGACTGGAAATCTATCCGCGCTGTCATCATGAGGGACAATTTTATCAATACTATTGTCTCTAATTTCAGTACAGAGGCCATTACGTAAGCATGCATTCTCACTGTTTTAGTTTCTTTCCTTGAACGAACGATACAAGTTCTTTGACCTTAGGGATCAGCGAACACGGTACCTTCGAATACTTTTTTGAAAAATCAATTCTCCAGGCGGCAAATAACGCGTAACACTAATACTCGTTGTATGTATGTACAACTAATCTCTGTGCTTGCTGATCTCGAATCTAAAAAATGAAATTTAAAAAAACGAAAGTCCAACGAAATTCACAAAGCACAAACTACTATTAAGAGCATGATGTGAACGATAAATGCCAAACTTGTTACTAACCGAAGTTTACGTGTATAATACAGTATACTAAAATGTTGCTTAAAGTTCCGGTTTTTCGTTCGTTAACCAAGCGTATCTAAGGCAAAGAAATAGATCTAGTTGATGTTTTTTAAAAATCGATATTGATTCGTGAATGTTTATCTAGCGACGAGGTGAGGGAGAAAATGAAGAGTCGCTATCTGAGCAATCCCGACTACAACTTTGAGAAAGTGAATCGAGCCAGCTTGGCTTGTGGACCGCTGGTTAAATGGGCCACCGCGCAGGTAATTATATTTTACACGTTTAAATTTAATAATCAAATACAGGGTCGCCAACTTTAGGAAAAATTTTAATGGGAGATTCTAGAGGCCAAAATAAGACGAAAATCAACAAATTGATATTCTTGATTTTCGTCTTATTTTAGCCTCTAGAATCTCCCATTACAATTTTTATTATGATATGAAATTTTTTAATTTCGCCTAAAAATTTCAGTACCTCCTCGAATTTTTTTCTCGAAAGGGGGTAGGATTTCAGGGGTAGGTCTACTCACCAAAAATGATTGTAATTGACCCCTGCAACCGAAAATAATTTTTCTAGAACGATTTGAAATTTTTTAATTTCGTCTAAAAATTTCAGTACCTACTCGAATTTTTTTCTCGAAAATGGCTAGAATTTCAAGAGTTTGTGTATTTACCAAAAATGATTGCAATTGACCCCTGCAACCGAAAATAATTTTTTTAGAACGATTTGAAATTTTTTATTTTTTTTTGTTGAAAAATTTAGGGACTTCCCCTCTGTCAATTTTTCTTAAGATTCGTTTTTGATTTTTAATAATTTTGTTTGGCGCCCTATACAAAAGTTGTGTAATACTTTTTTGTAGGTATCCGTGAGCTCTACTTCAGAAAAAAATTTCAACGAGATACGTTCACTATTGTAGGAGTTATGGCCGTTTGAAAATTGGAACAATTTTAGGGGGGTTTTCCTCACTTTGCGGTGTCAAGGAACAACTTTTTCAATATTGTTAGAATTTCTACATATTCTCCACTAAAATACGCGTTGTTTGTATTTTGAAAAATTGAAATCCTTCAATCCGTTCAGGAGTTATGACATTTTAAAGATTCGCATGAAATTTCAGGGAAGCACCTCCTTAGATTTTCGATAAAGAATTTTTTTCTCGAAAGTGCGTAGAATTTCGGGGTACGTCATTTCACCAAAAATGCTTGTAATTGACCCCTGTGACTAAGTATAATTTTTCCAGACCGATTCGAAATTTTTTAATTTCGTCTAAAAATTTCAGTACCTAATCGAATTTTTTTCTCCAAAACTGGATAGAATTTCGTGGTATGACTATTCACCAAAAATACTTGTAATTGACCTGTGTAACTAAATATAATTTTTTTATTATGATTTGAAATTTATTATTTCGTCTGAAAATTTTAATACCTTCTCGAATTTTTTTCTCGAAAGTGAGTAGGATTTCGGGGGTATGAGTATTCACCAAAAATGATTGTAATTTAGCCCTGCAAACGGAAATAATTTTTCCAAAACGATTTGAAATTTTTTAATTTAATTTTTTAATAACTATTCAATGAAGCCTCAATCAAAATTTTAATGGGAGATTCTAGAGGCCAAAATAAGACGAAAATCAAATATTAACAAATTAGTATTCTTGATTTTCGTCTTATTTTGGCCTCTAGAATCCCCCAATAAAATTTTTCCCAGGGCTTCAGTAAGAAATCGGTATTTTTCTGCGTTTTTAATTTTTCACACCTAGAATTTGGAATCGAAAAATTGAAAAAAATTCTTGAACACGTATCTCGATAACCACAATGCACCAGATTTTTTACGTAATTTTCGAACTCGATTAAATACGGAAAACAGACACAAACTCGGTAATCCGAATTTTCCCCATTAACCCAGACCAATTTCGTATTGAAAGCTTGGTAAAAATTTTAATGGGGGATTCTGGAGGCCAAAATAAGACGAAAATCAAGAATACTAATTTTTTGATGGAGGCTTCGTTAAAAAGTTATTAACAGTCGACAGGGGGGAAGTCCCTAAATTCGATGAAAAAAAAAAAAATTTCAAATCGTTCTAAAAAAATTATTTTCGGTTGTAGGGGTCAATTGCAATCATTTTTGGTGAATACACAAACTCTTGAAATCCTACCCACTTTCGAGAAAAAAATTCGAGTAGGTCCTGAAATTTTCAGACAAAATTAAACAATTTCAAATCGTTCTAGAAAAATTATTTTCGGTTGCGGGAGTCAATTACAATAATATTTGGTGAATAGACCTACCCCTGAATACCTACCAACTTTCGAGAAAAAAATTCGAGTAGGTACTGAAATTTTTAGACGAAATTAAAAAATTTCAAATCGTAATAAAAATTTTAATGGGAGATTCCAGAGGCTAAAATAAGACGAAAATCAAGAATACCAATTTGTTGATGGAGGCCAATCCCCTATTAAAATTTTTCCCGCGAGTGACTGAACACCCTGTATATTCAACTCATAACATTTACCATTTTCAGATCGAGTATGCGGACATGTTGAAACGAGTAGAACCCCTGAGGGACGAGCTCCATTCGTTGGAACGTCAGGCTGAAACAAACATGCAGAAAGGCGAGGAAGTGAAGAATTTGATCGCCCAATTGGAACAGAGCATAGCCTCCTACAAGGAAGAATACGCTCAATTAATCTCTCAAGCTCAAGCCATCAAAGCTGACTTGGAGAGCGTGCAAGCCAAAGTAGATCGCTCTATTGCTTTGCTGAAATCCTTGGGAATCGAAAGGGAACGATGGGAAGCAACGAGCGAGACATTCAAGAGTCAAATGTCTACAATAATAGGAGATGTTCTCCTATCATCCGCCTTCCTAGCCTATGCTGGATACTTCGACCAACACGTAAGCATTCAACAGTAGCTCAATCGCCAGTTCAATTGTAACATTCCTCTTCAAAGAGTAACAAAACACTATTTTCTGTTCTACAGTACCGACAAAATCTATTCAGTACCTGGTGCCAACATCTGCAATACGCGAATCTCCATTTCCGACCTGACATAGCAAGAACAGAGTACCTCTCGAATCCTGATGAACGTCTGAGGTGGCAGGCGAACGCCTTGCCAACGGACGACCTCTGCACAGAGAATGCCATCATGCTGAAACGCTTCAACAGATACCCACTGATCATCGACCCATCCGGTCAAGCGACAGAGTTCATAATGAACGAGTTCAAGGACCGAAAGATCACGAAAACGAGCTTCTTGGACGACTCCTTCAGGAAGAATCTCGAGAGCGCTCTGCGCTTTGGTAATCCTCTGTTGGTGCAAGACGTAGAAAACTACGACCCGATACTGAACCCTGTCCTGAACAGAGAACTGAGAAGAACAGGTGGACGTGTACTGATCACCCTCGGTGACCAGGACATCGACCTTTCACCGTCCTTCGTCATCTTCTTGTCCACCAGAGATCCCACCGTGGAGTTCCCGCCAGACATCTGCTCGCGTGTCACCTTTGTAAACTTCACCGTCACCAGAAGCTCCCTGCAGAGCCAGTGTTTGAACCAAGTCCTGAAAGCAGAGCGCCCGGACATCGACGAGAAGAGGTCCGACCTGTTGAAACTGCAAGGCGAGTTCCACCTGCGGCTACGGCAGCTCGAGAAGTCTTTGCTGCAGGCGCTGAACGACGCCAAGGGGAAGATCCTCGACGACGATTCCGTGATCACCACCCTGGAAACGTTGAAACAGGAGGCTGCAGACATCAGCAAGAAGGTGGAGGAGACGGACAAAGTGATAGCAGAGATAGAAACAGTCTCACAACAGTACATGCCCTTGTCACAAGCCTGCTCCAACATGTACTTCACTATGGACAGTCTGAATCAAGTGCACTTCTTGTATCAGTATTCTCTGAACATGTTCTTGGACGTGTTCACATCCGTGTTGTCTCAGAACCCAAGGCTGTCCAATATATCAGACTACACGCAGAGGCTGTCGGTGATCATCAGCGACCTGTTCTCCGCCTGTTACGAGCGCGTAGCGCGCGGGATGCTGCACACCGATAGGCTAACATTTGCACTGCTATTGTGCAGAATACATTTGAAGGGTATCGCCACGGAGTCCACGTACGACAGCGAGTTCACGTTCTTCTTACGGGGCAAGGAAGGTGTCCTGAACATCCGGGGACCCCTCGCGCCCAATCTGAGCTCTGAGCAACAGGAAGCCATGATGAGGTTGAGCCTCAGGCTACCAGCCTTCAAGAAACTGGCGGAGAAGATACAAGAGAACGCTGAATTTAACTCGTGGCTGCAATCGCCGACCCCTGAGACCTGTGTGCCAAAACTGTGGAACGAGGAGAAGCCGTTGACACCGACTGGGACAGCTATGCACCAGCTGTTGATCATCCAAGCGTTCCGACCGGATCGCGTGATAGCTGCTGCGACGCTGGTGGTCACGTCCGCCCTGGGTGAATCCTTCATGGCTGCTGCAGAGGCGGAACTCGACTTTGCGTCTGTGGTTGATAACGAATTGAAGGCCACGGTGCCTGCCTTGCTGTGCTCAGTGCCTGGCTTCGACGCGTCGGGTAGAGTAGACGATCTGGCCGCTGAGTCGGGCAAGCAAATAGCCAGCATCGCCATTGGGTCCACGGAAGGGTTCAACCAGGCCGACAGAGCTATAAACATGGCCGTCAAGGCTGGCAGATGGGTGTTGCTGAAGAACGTGCACTTGGCCCCGCAGTGGCTGGTGCAGCTGGAGAAGAAGTTGCACAGTCTTCAGCCGCACGCCAGCTTCAGGCTGTTCTTGACCATGGAGATCAGTCCAAAGGTGCCGGTGAATCTGCTCAGGGCTGGCAGAATATTCGTCTTCGAGCCACCGCCAGGCATCAGAGCAAACCTATTGAGGACCTTCAGCACCGTACCAGCGTCGAGGATGATGAAAGCGCCCAACGAGAGGGCCCGTCTCTACTTCCTGTTGGCCTGGTTCCACGCTATCGTTCAGGAACGCCTTCGTTACGCTCCACTAGGCTGGGCCAAGCATTACGAGTTCAACGAGAGCGACCTGAGAGTAGCGTGCGACACTCTGGACACCTGGATAGAGACCACAGCTATGGGCAGAACCAACTTGCCTCCGGAGAAGGTGCCCTGGGACGCTGTGGTCACGCTGCTCTCTCAGTGCATATACGGTGGGAAGATCGACAACGACTTCGACCAACGTCTGCTGACGTCGTTCCTTAGAAAACTGTTCACACCCAGGTCCTTCGAGGCTGACTTTGCCCTAGTTGCTAATATAGACGCTTCGCAAGCGAGTCAGAGGAACATCACCATGCCAGATGGCACCAGGCGCGATCACTTCCTCAAGTGGATCGAGTCGCTGTCTGACAGGCAAACACCTTCCTGGCTAGGTCTACCGAACAACGCGGAGAAAGTGCTGCTCACCACCAGAGGAACCGACTTGGTGTCGAAGTTGCTGAAGATGCAGCAGCTGGAGGACGAGGACGAGTTGGCGTATTCGAACGAAGAGTCACTGGACACGCCTACTAAGGCTGAAGCCGATGGTCGACCCTCGTGGATGAGGACGCTCAACAATTCAGCCTCCACCTGGCTACAGTTGCTTCCCAAGAACCTGCCAACCCTGAAGAGAACCGTGGAGAATATAAAGGACCCTCTCTACCGCTACTTCGAGAGAGAGGTGAACAGTGGCGCCAAGTTGCTGCAAGATGTGATTCACGATTTGGAGGACGTAGTCTTAATTTGCCAGGTACTCTTTCGACTGTTATTGTGGCATTTGGTAAATTGCATTTGTAACTTTTTATTCGATTTTTAGAGCAAGAAGAAGCAGACCAATTATCACAGAACCATGTTGTCGGAATTGGTGAAGGGCATTTTACCTGGTCGCTGGAGACGCTATACCGTACCGAGAGGTTGCACGGTGATACAGTGGATAACCGATTTTAGTCATAGAGTGTCTCAGTTGCAAGAGGTCTCGCGACTGGTGTCTCAAGGAGGAGCGAAAGAGATCAAGGTAGGTTTTGGGTTCTTTGTATGACTTATTATAGATAATCTATCGATTCTATAAAATCATAGATATTTATATATTATCAAGCTATAGATATATATTTATAAATAACTATAGATATTAAACTAATAGATTTATACATACTCATTATTTATAATGTAATTATTAATCAATATTTTATGACCCTTTGTTGAGACTTTGTGTTTTTTCTCCAGAGTTTTCCCGTTTGGCTCGGTGGGCTGCTGAATCCTGAAGCGTACATCACGGCGACGAGACAATGCATAGCGCAGGCGAACAGTTGGTCGCTCGAGGAGCTTCAGTTGGACGTGACGATTGGAGACTGTGATAATATCGCGACCGACGACTGCTCGTTCGCCGTTACCGGTTTGAAGCTGCAAGGAGCACAGTGCAAGGACAATCAGCTGTATCTGACGTCCACCATAATGACCGACTTACCAGTTACCATGTTAAGATGGATACGCTCAGCCACCGACGAAGTCCGCAAAGGCAAGCTCTCGTTGCCGGTTTACCTGAACAGCACGCGTACCGAGCTGCTGTTCACCGTCGATTTAAACATCGCTCCTAGTCAAGATCCTCACAGTTTCTACGAGAGAGGAGTCGCCGTTCTTACATCCACCGCTTTGAATTAATATCTTTAATACTAGTTAATTGTATTTGCCTCGCGGGAGCTAGTCTCCCGGAACCGTTTTAATTCCGTATCGAGATGGGATATTTAAAAAAAAAGAAATAACATAACGATGAAATTACTTTGCAACGACTTAATTATCATGTATGATTCGGGAATGGGGAAAATGGGCTACCACGAAGCTACTCTCCGCATATAGTGTAAGGATTTCATGGAGATATTTATTTGTCTGTCCTTTTTTTTTTTTTTTTTTCTAATAATTATTTATGACCTAACCATTTAAGGAATACCGATTTTTCATTCGATATAGAATAGTAGTATGTTTCGTCGATGCTAGCTCGCGCAACTTTGCATTAAATCCTTCGTGGAGAGACGTTTGCCCATTACTCGTGACGTAATAAGTAAAATATACGTATGGTAAAGAATATTATTTAAACGCATCAAGAGGGTTATCTTTCTGCACATTTTGTAAGCGTGTAATGAAACGAAAATGCTCTGTACGGCGATTTTAGCATAATCGATGAAAGTGCATGACATCCGTGTAAGGGTCGTCGTTTCGATAACGAGGTTGTAATATACATAGTTTATTTAGTTTTATATACGTTCGAAACTGAAAGACCGCTTTCTGTAACAAAGATACGTTGCGTTCGCTTATGTGTAAGTACCAAGGTACTGTAGAATTTATATTATTTGAATGGCATCTAATAAATAATTTACCATGCTACGTAAGCGTCGTTAACAAGATTCCAAATTGCAGAGCTAATATACATTAAAATTTTGACTGAGGCTGCATTGAATAGTTACTAAAAAATTAAATTAAAAAATTTCACGGCCATAACTCCTATAATAGTGAACGCATCTCATTGAAATTTTTTTTCTCTAGTAGAGCTCACGGGTACCTACAAAAAAGTATTACAAAACTTTTCTATAGGACGTCAAACAAAATTATTAGAAATAAAAAACGAATTCTTAAGAAAAATCGACAAAGGGGAATCCCTAAATTTTTCGACGAAAAAAAAAAATTACAAATCGTTCTAAAAAAATTATTTTCGGTTGCAGGGGCCAATTGCAAGCATTTTTGGTGAATACACATAACCTTGAAATCATACTCACTTTCGAGAAAAAAATTCGAGTAGATATTGAAATTTTGAGACGAAATTAAAAGTTTCAAATCATAATAAAAAAATTATATTTAGTTACAGAGGTCAATTACAAGCATTTTTGGCAAATACACATAACCTTGAAATCCTACGCACTTTCGAGAAAAAAATTCTATATCGAAAATCGAAAGTTTAAAATGTCATAACTCCTGAACGAATTGGAGGATTTTAATTTTTCAAAATCCAAACAACGCGTATTTTAGTGGAGAATGTGTAGAAATTCTAATAATATTGAAAAAGTTGTTCCTTGACACCGTAAAGTGAGGAAAACCCCCCTAAAATTGGTCCAGTTTTCAAACGACCATAACTCCTACAATAGTGAACGTATCTCATTGAAATTTTTTTCCGAAGTAGAGCTCACGAATACCTACAAAAAAGTATTACACAACTTTTCTATAGGGCGCCAAACAAAATTATTAAAAATCAAAAACGAATCTTAAGAAAAATTGACAGAGGGGAAGTCCCTAAATTTTTCAACAAAAAAAGAAAAATTTCAAATCGTTCTAAAAAAATTATTTTTGGTTACAGGGGTCAATTACAAGCTTTTTTGGTAAATACACATAACCTTGAAATTCTACCCAGTTTCGACAAAAAAAATTCTTTATCGAAAATCTAAACTCTTTATGGAAATGTAAACTCTTTAAAATCTTTATCAAAATACAAACAACGCGTATTTTAGTGGAGAATATGTAGAAATTCTAACAATATTGAAACACTTGTTCCTTGACACCGTAAAGTGAGAAAAACCCCCCTAAAATTGGTCCAATTTTCAAACGGCCATAACTCCTACCATAGTGAACGTATCTCATTGAAATTTTTTCCCGAAGTAGAGCTCACGAATACCTACAAAAAATTATTACACAACTTTTCTATAGGGCGCCAAACAAAATTATTAAAAATCAAAAACGAATCTTAAGAAAAATTGGCAGAGGGGAAGTCCCTAAATTTTTCAACAAAAAAAGAAAAATTTAAAATCGTTCTAAAAAAATTATTTTTGGTTGCAGGGGTCAATTGCAATCATTTTTAGTGAATACTTATACCCTTGAAATCCTACTCACTTGCGAGAAAAAAAATATGAAAAATCAAGAATTCGAAAGAAAGATTACAAGATAATTACAAAAGAACATAAAAACTTTATTATGGTCCATAATATCAGGTATAGCAGTTACACTTATGAAATATTATTAGAATATTTGCGGCACTCTACAACTACGTAATCATGTAAATAACAATACATTTTTTACATTGCTTTTCTTGCTTGATCTTATTTCGTCTATTCGTATTGCCATATAATACGTAACGTACAATCTTTCCATTGCAACGCGTACAATCACTAGTTCGCCGCAATTTTGTTCGACCCATCGGCCAGAAAGTATAGTACAGGCCTCGATGGACGGTGGACGGACTATACAATTGCGGCCAATAAAACGAAAACGTTAACGTTACGAAACGCGCGACAAGCAAAAATTTATCTTGTAAATGATTCGTTAAAATACTATATACATTAATACTCTAAAACTACCAGGAGACTAACAGCAGTATATTACATCGACGTATTCATCCTGCGCGCAGTCTCGAACAAGAATGCCGAAAAATTGTAAATTACACCGGTTCGAAGTCGTAATGGATCTACACAGCGATATAATCGAAGCTCCGCGAGAGTTCGTTGTACGTTTTATTCATCTCGTTCTCGATACAATCGTCGCGGTAAGTGGAACGACGAGATTATGCGGTTATTCGTCGGGCATGACAAGACTAACGAAAAGGAAAAGGAAATACTGAATTCAGTCTAAAGAATAAGAATAAATTTCTCGGTCGTTGGTTCAAGATCGCCGCGGTAAGCGCGCGATTAAAAAGGCAACGCACGCGTGAATCGTTGCGTGACGTTGGGACGTTCTTGGATAGAAAAAAAAACTCGGAACGAAGGACAGAGTCTATATCACGGAAACGGACTCGTCCGTCTCTACGGCAGTCTTTTTGTCGTCGCTATCGTCGTTAGCCTGTTCATCGGAGACTAGAGACACGTCCTTCGGCAGGACCAATGATTCCTCGCCGATCGGCGCGGCCGCCTCGACTAGATTCTCGACAGAGGCCGCCACCGTCGGCTCGTCGTGGCAGAAGCTTCTGCGCAGTGACTGCTGGGTCCTCGCAGTACCTCTCCTAATGCTACTACGAAGTAAATTCGCTACGTCGACCGCGGTCAGGTTCGAGCTGCTCGACACGGTGGCGCACTGTCTCGTACGAGTCCTCTCGAGCGTCGAATGGGTACGCTCGACCGCACGCGGCGTCACCACGCCGATCCTCGTCGATCTGTCGATGGTGTTAGGCCTGTGTCTCTCCATCGCGTTGCTCCGTGCGTTCGCGACGGAGATCTCTGTCCTCGCCTCGGCGATGTGGATCGCCACGTCCTGCGTCTGTCTGCCTTGATTCATTTCCACGAGGACGGTCGCGTAGTCCGGTGGCGGCGGTTGCAACGCTGGCCTCTGCCTGGGCGTGCTGCTCTCACCCAGCACGTTCGCTATTCGTCTCACGCTTCTTCTGAAGCTCTGTCTCAGCATCTTCGCTATCCTAGCCCCTGTGGCTGTCGTGTAACTGGGCGGTGGCGTGTACTTTGGCGGCGGATCCTCGAACGGCACCTCCGTGGTCGCAGTGACGATTCCATTACCGTGGATGCTGGTACTAGTGTCGTTCCCGATATGCGTTTGAGCTGTTCTAGGGTCATCCGGCTCCAGAGAGGGTCGGTACAGCAGTTGGATTCTCTGCAAAACGTAGTTACCGTCAAGGTGTGTTCACTGTTCAATGTTTGAGGGGATATTCCCTGGTCTAGGCATGCAATTTTTAACACTTTATCGACCGGTAGCGGTTGATTAATCGGCTATCGGTCGGTAAACGCCGGCCGATAAAACAGTTGATTAATAGGCTATCGGTCGGTAAGCGTTAGCCGGTAAAACAGTCGATTAATAGGCTATCGGTCGGTAAAGTGTTAAGAGACTGTACACTGTACACGGATTCACCCATTGCAAATTGAATTTAGAGACGGGTCGCGATAGGCGGTGAAAGTTAGGAGGAAGAGGAGTATGTTCCTAACGGGGTAGTGATATTTAGTAACTAAGTAGTGTTATTTTAGTTTTATTGTCTTCTGTAATAGGTTAAGGTTAACTTCAATTTTAGTTGCAAGCGTCGGCTGAAGGCGAGGTTAGGATTGCAGGAGAGGTAAGGGGAAAAGAAGATGATGAAGGGGGGGAGGAGTTAAAAGAGTAGAAAGGAGGGGAATAACTGGAGCAAGAAACAGGAAACAGGTAGAAGAAAATAGAGAATTTAAAAATTAAAAATAGAAGATAAATGGTGTTACTACTAAAAATAGAAGAATTGAATTTAATCTGCAAAACAGTTTGCACGTTTGTTAGCGTGTTCAATGGTGCAGGACGATTTCGAGCATGCTGTGAGGTTAGAAATGAGAACTTACGCCGTTACACTGCTCGCAGTGATTTACGTTAACTGCCACTTGATTGGTCTTAGCACAAACAAAGAAGGCGGTCGTGTTAGTGGATCAGGAGACAAATTTCGGAGTATTATATCGCACTTGATATCGACAGTTGCAGGAAAACATAAGGTTTTATCTTTGTTTGCTCTTCGATATCCAATGGTGACACATCTCTGTGGGCCTTTAGAGCAACATGCACAGCGCATGCGTTCATTTAACACCAGATTGCCCAAAGGAAGCCATTTTGACTGCTTTTGGGCGATATAGGTATATACTAAGTTTCAGTCTTTCTAGCGTTGAGAATACTTCCATGCATATTGTTCTAAAACCCGAGAAGCTTATGTCGTTTTGTCACATCGATAGTCCAGGTTTACCAAAGCTCACTGGGATCCTTACATCAAATATATCGGGTGGGCCGTTGTTCAGATAACGACAGGTCTGTATGATAGCCACTGCAGGTATGGTTAGTATCGGTATCAGTTGAATGATGGCTCCGAGTTGCCTCGAGAGCACCGTCCAGTAATCTCTGGCAGTCCGTCGATAAGAGTAGAGCTCACGGAATCCGGCGTTTTTGAATACCGTGATGCTGAGAACCTGTTGATTAGATAATCGTTTGACGTGGTTCTGCGATTACTGGTCATAGTATGATGACTCACCATGAGAATGACTGGTAGCACGACGTTCCACGTGAACGACAAGAGTGGTCCAGCCCAGTGCCTGAGACACCGACCTGTAGGTGGGAACAACTCTGCAACGACCGCCTCTCCGCTGTGAGGTCGTCCCCGCACCGCGAACACAGCACCGACTTGCACCAAATATAAGATCATTATCCACCACGAGCCACCAATTGTGTAATCCAGATAGTACACGATATGTATGCCCACCTGGGAACAGAAGTAACATCACATGTGGATTTGATTGCAGGAAGAGGGACAGTGTATTTGCCCAGGTGTGGGCATATGCTAAGACTGCAACTTTTGCCTCAAGAATTCAACGTGTTTTACTACTAAAAAACTCTATCAAAAACATTCCTTTACATTCCACTATAATCTGAAACAGTATCAATATATCTGTGCAAATAGTGTTATTTGGAGTACACTCAGGGCCCCATGTATTTACTTTGTTCTTTCTGTCAACGATTGTATCAGCCACTCCATCGCTCACGACACTAGAGACGACGCGGAAGCGCTGGTTTTTATATCCCTCACTTGAATGTCCAGGAACAACGTGTCGTCCTTAACATACCCGGTGTACCGGGTCAAGGTCGTATGAGGAATGAACATATAAATTCCGGAGTCTCTGTCGACGTTCTGGTTCGTTCTATCATAGCCAACAGCCTTGACCAGCTTCTTCACGTCGTTTGCAGGGTTTTCCTGGTTCCTCAAAGCGACGGAGGCTCGGAGGACGCAGGGCCAGTCCAACAGAGGGTCCCACTTTCCATTTTCCACGCGAAGGCAGCCTATTATGTGGCGATCTTTCCACTGGCCTATACCGTTCAGGAACAACTCCAGCCTCAGCGTGTACCCGTACTCCTTGTTGGAGAATCTTGGGCTGTACAGCGCGCAATCGCTCTCTTTGGCGTCGGACATTTTCTCTTTGTAACGATCGATCCTCCAGAGGAGCCTACCATTGGTTGGAAACTGCTCCTCGTGTTCCTGTTCACATGGACACTCCACCAGCTCCGCAACATTGGGCTTGGAGCTCTCTCTGATCAGCTCTTCCAGATACTTCAGGTTCTCCTTCGTCTGAAACTTCAGCCCTTTGATGGTGCACTTGTGCTCGTCCACCACCGACGTCTGCTTGCGTACTTCTTCGCTGAGAGCGTCGACTTTCTCAGCGAGAGCCTTCTGTTGAGACGTCAGCTCGTTCGAGCTCTTACACCTCATCTCCAGCTCCAGCTTGAGGTCGTGGATCAACTGTTGCTGTTCTTGCCACATCCCGCTCACGTGGGCGCTCTCCTGCGCCAGATACGTCTTCAGATCTTTCAGCTCTATGCACCAATCGCCCAGCACCTCGTCCTTTTTGCTCTGTTCATCGGTGAGCTCGACGTGCAGCAGCTTCAGTTGCTCGGAGATCTGTTGGAAGCTCAGTCTGGTACGGTGCTCCATGTCATCACGACTAGATTCCAACGTGCTCAATCGCTGATTCAAGGCAGCGTTCCCCTGACGACACTCCCCCGTCATTTCCGCCGCTTGGAACCGCAAGATGTCGATGGCCTCCTGCTGGGAGTGCAGCAACTTGAAACACCGAGACACGTTAACTTGAAGGTTCTTGCGTTCCCTCTCCTCCTCGTTCAACGCGGAGCGAAGCAACGTCAAAGCTGAGAATATTTTGTTCCTCCATAAAGTGTCTTGGACCTCGCTTATCTGACTGTTCCTCCTCGAACCGTTCCTATTACAAGTCCCTCGATGGTCCTCCATGTTCCTCCGTGGCACGTAAACGCCACACTTGTAGGCACATTCCTCCAAAACCGAGCCACAATGCTTCAGGTGATCGTTCAGGTACCTCTCCTCCAAAAAATCGTTGCAGAAGTAGCAAGGTACGCTTCGACGTACCACGGAATTTACGCGGTTACTCATCTTCAATCAACGACAATGACTCTAGCGATACTGACGAAGCGCCTCGCTTGTTCTTAGACTGATAATCGTTATCAGAGCAAATAAAATATTATGGGGTATATCTGATAAGTACTCCGATTACCACGCGATAGCAACGACTACGCTCCACTTTGAAAGGCTAGTTTATTAGAGAATATTTATGTACCTCGGTGGCCAAGGGTAGGCCCAGTATGTATGCACAAGCGCAGCTGAAGAAGGTGATGGTCGTTTCCCAGAGTTTCATCACTTTTGTGTTGATGGCCATGATCCCGGTTATCACGCAGTGCCATATTGCCAGCTGTAACACCAGAAATTATGTAGCTTATTATGTTTGTTGAAATGAGCTCTTATTATGAGCCTTAAACCGAATGATTCTATCTCTTGCCACGGGCGTTCCAAGAGGATTCAGGCATCTGTGTGCTTAAAGACTTGGATCTTGGGTATTATTTGCGTTTGAATACATATTGCATGTACCTGTTGAGCAATTCCAAAGAGAATCAGCACAAAGTAGAAGAGTACCGCCCAGAATGGTGACACTTGCTCTGTGCCGAGCAATGCCAGCGTCGCAGGGACCAATTCGGTGGAAAGTCTCAGAACTTGATAACCAGATTCTACGCTGGAATCCGCGCCGGGACGAATTACACGCTCACCGACGATAAACGACGCGTGGGCCATAAATCTCTCTGGTGTGCTGCTGTATCCCGGCGGTGCTGGCTGATTCACGTGCCTCATAAACACGTACGATGATATTCTTTCTGAAATAGAAACTATCTTTAAATACAATCCTCGGTCAGAGTCCCATCTTTTGTCTTTCCAAACTATCCAGATGATACAAACGATGAAAGAAACTAATTAACGCTATTATCTGTAAGTACAACAGCCAGGAATGAACCCTGATGAAAGGGAAACCTTGTACCAGATACATTAAGTATTCCAGCCTAGACGTCAATTGTTTTAATGCTAAGTTTCAGTGGAATCTCTTTTGTCGAACATGCTTTCATGATTTTCAACCGTTTTGTCTACTAAAAATGAACGATCTAATATTTTGTTTACCAGTTAAGGGCTAAAAATAGACTCCGAACCAGTCAGAACCATTAAACGCGGACAAGAAATTATGCACCTGTTGGCTTCACTTACCGAAGGAACTCGGAATGTAAATATACCCGTGATGCTTGAGAATCTGCACGCAAGTGTTCGCCAGAAATGCCGCGAGTAGGAGAACCACTATCGTTAGCACTATCACGAGGCTCGTGTCCCGTTGCAGAAGATGCTTGTGCTTGTTGTGCGCAGCTATCTGGAAAACCGATATTCCGTTCGAGTTTTTTTCCGTTATTCGAACACGCGTTTATGGTGTCCGTGGGGCAATTACCTGCATGGCGGCTGCGCCTAGTAATCCCCAGGTGAGGAAAACCTCGATGGACGCCGCCACCCACGATTTCCCGTTTATGAAGAACTCGGTCCCCACGGTGGCAGGAAAAAGCTGATGTATAGACCCTGGAGGCGTGAGGCCGAGCAATTTTGTGCACAGCACCAGCGTGCCAAACACAGGCACCAGTGTGAAAACGTACACCACTTTACCATAAGATCTCAAGCCTGAAATTTTAATAAGATCAAATAGAATTTAAACATTGTACGTCTGCACAGAAAAGAGTAGATAGAACAGTGTTTTAAATTTGTTTCGAGGAACTAGATTTGTAACGTTAGTGTTTGGTGGCAATGTAGTTATATTTAATTGCTACGAGTACTCTGTTTTGTAAGTTTCGATGAAGGAAACGCAACGAAAACACTGTTCTCATACGAGTTTCCTTCCTCCTTAGTTACATTTGAATGTTTCTGGTTTTAACCCCTTAACGCTCATATTTTTCGGGCTAACCAAGAATGATCAGTTTTCTTTATTGGATTTGTTTCTAAAACTGCGGTTTTTGTTAATTACAATGTTGTATCCGACGTATAATTTGAAGGAAAACAAATATTATCAACCCTTAAACCATTAGATTAAACAAATATCGTTTTTCAAAGCAGTCAGACTCGGGCATGAACGTTAAGGGGTTAAAGTGGGAGTAAGCGAGTTTATTTGCATGCACTGTTTCGCAGGAATGATACCGTAGTGTTTACAAGGTGTATTTATAGAATAAATGAACTTGCGGTGAATCATGGTGTTTTTAGAGGGAATGCTAGTACCTTTGCTCAACGAAACGAACACGATCATCCAAACGACGGCCAAGTTGAAAGCTACTTGAAATTTTAACGTCACTACGCCGGAATCCGACTCGTGCAATTGCTGCCTTTGCAACACCACTCCGCTAAAATAATCCGGCACAGTTTCGTACAGTTTGTTCAAGGTGCTGGCGTTCTGCGCCGGCTTGTCCTCCCTGTACAAAGAAAATGGCTCTGCCCAGCGGTACTTGTCCTGCTTCGTTATGAACGAATCCCTGGAAAAATAAAGAAATTTGTCGATGCAATTCAGTAACTCTAAATACAAATAGTAACTTTTTCTTTGAGCTTTTGAAAATCCTCCATTTAGTCAGGAGTAGATACAGTGAGATAATTACATTAATGTGTCTTTATTCAATGCATACTAATTATAAATAAAAATATTTACTATCAACAAATTATACATATTTGAAAATGACACACTGAAATCATCTGTCAATTATATATTGGATTGTACTTCTGCTTCTGTTCATAACTTGACAAATTTCATTATAACTTTTTTTATTTTTATAGCGATAAATAACCAAGTTTCGTTCTTCAATAAAAGTTTGTTTCATTTTTATTATTTTACACCCACTGCACACTAATTTATGGACTTTGCTTAGTAAAACAAGCAAACAAAGGGCTACCAACACTACATTTAAAAAACATGGGGTATTCCCCGAATGATTACAGTCGTACCAACTTGTACGATTTTTAGTGACTGGTGATTTCGGTACGTTATTTTTGAATGTGTTTAATTCCTTGATTACAGATAAAGTTTTTCATTTATAGCCATCTAGTGTTAAATAAAAACATTAGTATACCTATATCTAAAATATTTTCATCGTAAATGCATAATATCAACGCTCAAAAAGAAAATGGCCGTACCTGAAGTACACGAACATCCAGGACACCCCGACTATACTGTAGGTACCGATAAACGCTTGTGCAATTAACAGAGCTATACCGACGCCCTGGAAAAGGGGCGAAATTTTCCACATATCCACGGATCCAGCCGCTAATCTTTGCCCGAGGCACACGTGCAACGTCAAAAGTGGAATGCCCAATATCAGAGACAAAATCAGGAACTGTACAATGAAATTTACTGGAAAGAGAAACAGAGAACGTATGTTTTTATTTTGTCCTTTTTATTTATTTCGACTCAGAGACTTAAAACCGAAAATTATTTCGGGATCGTAAATATACCCGACACTGAAATAAAACCGTGATTAATACCGGTATTTTCCTGGTTTTCTCGATACCGATCTCTAGCCTCTTAAAATGTAAATAAATAAACTTTCATTTTTCTTTTAATTCACTTTTCTATTATCAGAGTGCGTTTCAGACTCGTAATTTATCGTGTTTAATAATAAAAGATGATATCAAGATGATCGATAATTTTCGACGAAGAAAACTACGCACGCCTACGCTGGATGTCATGATCGTTGAATCATCTCTCAAAAAGGTGATAATCGGGCTCTGTGCAAGGTCTCGAGAATGTGTAACTTGTTACTTTACGCGTAGAAATGTTTTTAAAATAAGGAAAACTAACAATGAAAACGCAAGATATATATTTTCGTGATTATTACAAATTGAATTTGCTAATATTTTCTGGACCATTCTCGTTTATTTCCATACCTCGATTTCTATTAGGCGTTCTAGCAGACGTAACCGGAAAATATCGATATAATACCGGTAGTTTACGTTTCGTTCTAAGTCCCTGTGGCAATCTATCTTCCGGGACTCACCTCCAAATTGTATACTAAGGATAGAGAATCTACTTATATTAAAAAGACCAAGGGTGCAACTAAGGCACGCTAACGCAGGACTAAGAGCGTGTGGCCACTTCCCCAATGGATTCGCGTCCTCGTCGTCGTCCTCTCCTCTGTCCTCGTCCCTGTCGACGTCTCTTTGCCTTTCGCATATCCTGAACAAACAATAAACAATTTTGGCTCGTTAATAAACAATTGTCAATATCGATTTCAATTCTTGTAGCTGAAAAATACAAAGAAAAAAGGAAAGATTGTATTCTTTCTAAAGGCATATGTAAAAAAACAAGATGGCGTCTTCTCTCCAAGTGATACACGGAAAGAGCAAGATGGCGCCTGATTTGAGATGTTAAAGGAAATAAATCTGGACAGAACTTAAGAAATATGAATTTACAATCAAATTTTTACTGTTTGGATTTATTAATAAATAATTATCAGTATTGATTGTAATTTTTGTAGCTGCAAAATGCAAAGAAGAAAGGAAAGATTGTATTCTTTCTAAATAATAAGTGAAAAAACAAGATGGCGCCTGGTTTGAGATGTTAAAGTAAATAAATCTGGACAGAAACTCAAGAAATGTGAATTTAAAATAAAATTTTGTACTGTTTTGTAAATAAATAATTATCAGTATTGATTGTAATTTTTGTAGATGCAAAATGCAAAGAAGAAAGGAAAGATTGTCTTCTCTCTAAATGATACGTGAAAAAACAAGATGGCGTCTTCTCTCTAACAAACGATAAACAAGATGGCGCCTGGTTTGAGATCTTGAAGTAAATAAATCTGGACAAAACTCAAGAAATATGAATTTACAATCAAATTTTTACTGTTTTGGTTTGTTAATAAATCATTGTCAATATTGATTTTAATTTTTGTAGCTGAAAAATACAAAGAAGAAAGGAAAGATTGTATTCTTTCTAAATGATACGTGAAAAAACAAAATGGCGTCTTCTCTCTACGTGATACATGAAAAAACAAAATGGCGCCCGTTTTGAGGTGAAATTTGAATTTAAAATCAACATTTTACTGTTTAGGTTTGTCAATAAACAATTGTTAATGTTGATTTTAATTCTTATAGCTGTAAAATACAAAGAAGAAAGGAAAGATTGTATTCTTTCTAAGGCATATGTAAAAAAACAAGATGGCGTCTTCCCTTTAAGTGATACACGGAAAAACAAGATGGCGCCTGGTTTGAGATGTTAAAGGAAATAAATCTGGACAGAACTCAAGAAATATGAATTTACAATCAAATTTTTACTGTTTTGATCTATTAATAAATAATTATCAATATTGATTTTAATTCTTGTAGCTGAAAAATACAAAAACGAAGGAAAGTTCGTATTCTTTGTAAATAATACGTGAAAAAACAAGATGGCGTCATCTCTCTAAGTGATACATGAAAAAACAAAATGGCGCCCGTTTTGAGGTGAAATTTGAATTTAAAATCAACATTTTACTGTTTAGGTTTGTCAATAAACAATTGTTAATGATGATTTCAATTCCTATAACTGTAAAATACCAACAGTGAAGAAACAATTGTCTTCTTTCCAAGAGATGCATAAAAAACCAAACTCCATGAAATCTGAGTTTAAAATCAAACTTTTACTGATTTGTTTTGCTAATGAGTCAATTTGTTAACATTGACTGTTATTCTCGTAGCCGTAAAATGCCAAGTAAATGTATTTTAGTTCGATGAATTGCAGATCATTTCTTAAGCAGCCCGTAAAACGAAATGAAGTATTGCATAAACATTAAACACCGCGTTAGTTGTTGCTGGCGCGTGCTTATCGATTCCCGATAACACTGCGTAAAATAATCATGCTGGAGGCCGTATCGATCAGTCGTAAAACTGGGTCGAACGTAAATGTATCGCATTTGTCATCGTTGTCGAAGATAATTCACGGTCGATCGAGACCTCGTTACGACAATCGATTCCATACCAGGGCATCTCGAACTGCGAGGTAAACTCGAATCGATGCTGAATTCAAGTCAAAAACGATTCGATATAAATTTATCTGATCCAAAAACAATTCTTTTTATCAAATCTTTTCATTTCAATCGACTTGCAATAAATTTTAAAATATGTATTTACTAGGTTACAGATGTTCACATTTCGTAATTAAATTTTCTTTATTTAATTAAGATTTTTTCCCCCGTATTAGGAAGCAGAGTGGAATGTGGTTGGTGATTTTTTAAGATCATTTCTTAAGGTTTGCCTCGTAGCGATAGTGTTAACGATTCGAAAGGTTTAAATGGCCGCCATTTGCGTCGAGGCGGTAGAATGCAAGTTACGATAAAATAAAGCGCGCAATGGTTAAGCAAACCGTGGATTACGAGCTAAGGATCTCACGGTAGTGTCGATAACAGATCGAGGATCACGGGTGTACCGTTATCGGGGGAATAGAGAGGCGAATGCTTAAGAGAGGCCGAGCACTCCTACGTGGATCCACCTTAAAGGCGCAACTGGACCTTGTTTCGATCGAGGAATACGGAAACTTAGCGTCTACGTCGCCTTCGTTGCGCCAATCTTAGTCCTTCTTGACGTTTAAGACGACCATACGTGAATTATTCATACGAGTATGAGTAAGGAGATCGCCGCGATCCCGGTTAACGAATCCTTGTTATCGCGAAAACCCCCTTGAAACTCTAGCTCTGGCAAACCATTCTGCGCCATTTTTGTTTTATGTACGGTTCCACGCATCGACTACTCGAGTTATTAGCGTTTACTTTGCAAATTAAATGCAATTTCAAAGCTGTGTTTCGTCGATGAAAGTGATTATTCACAGCTAAAGGGGGTTCCCGAAAAATTCACATTTTTGAGATTTTATAAAAGAAAAACTACTGGAGATATCAGGTTTAAACTTTGCACCGTTATTTATACGTATCTCACGAAGTTACTTGAATTTTTTCATCTGAGAATGTGTAATAGTTTTAAAGATGGCGGCTGCTTGAGTGGTCGTGGTAAGAGGTATGTATGGAAAACCATTCCGCGCCATTTTTGTTTTATCTACGGTTCCACGCATCGACTACTCGAGTTATTAGCGTTTACTTTGCAAATTAAAAGCAATTTTAAAGCTGTGTTTCGTCGATGAAAGTGATTATTCACAGCTAAAGGGGGTTCCCGAAAAATTCACATTTTTGAAATTTTATAAAAGAAAAACTACTGAAGATATCAAGTTTAAACTTTGTACCGTTATTTATACGTATCTTACGAAGTTACTTGAATTTTTTCATTTGAGAATGTGTAATAGTTTTAAAGATGGCGGCTGCTTGAGTAATCGTGGTAAGAGAAATGTATGGAAAACCATTCCGCGCCATTTTTGTTTTATCTACGGTTCCACGCGTCGACTACTCGAGTTATTAGCGTTTACTTTGCAAATTAAATGCAATTTCAAAGCTGTGTTTCGTCGATGAAAGTGATTATTCATCGCTTAAGGGGGTTCCCGAAAAATTCACATTTTTGAAATTTTATAAAAGGAAAAATACTGAAGATATTAGATTTAAACTTAGCACCGTTATTTATACGTATCTCACGAAGTTACTTGAATTTTTTCATCTGAGAATGTGTAATAGTTTTAAAGATGGCGGCTGCTTGAGTAGTCGTGGTAAGAGGAATGTATGGAAAACCATTCCGCGCCATTTTTGTTTTATCTACGGTTCCACGCGTCGACTACTCGAGTTATTAGCCTTTACTTTGCAAATTAAAAGCAATTTTAAAGCTGAGTTTCGTCGATGAAAGTGATTATTCATCGCTTAAGGGGGTTCCCGAAAAATTCACATTTTTTAAATTTTATAAAAGAAAAACTACTGAAGATATCAAGTTTAAACTTTGCAGTGTTATTTATACGTATCTCACGAAGTTACTTGAATTTTTTCATCTGAGAATGTGTAATAGTTTTAAAGATGGCGGCTGCTTGAGTAGTCGTGGTAAGAGGAATGTATGGAAAACCATTCCGCGCCATTTTTGTTTTATCTACGGTTCCACGCGTCGACTACTCGAGTTATTAGCGTTTACTTTGCAAATTAAAAGCAATTTTAAAGCTGTGTTTCGTCGATGAAAGTGATTATTCACAGCTAAAGGGGGTTCCCGAAAAATTCACATTTTTGAAATTTTATAAAAGAAAAACTACTGAAGATATCAAGTTTAAACTTTGTACCGTTATTTATACGTATCTTACGAAGTTACTTGAATTTTTTCATTTGAGAATGTGTAATAGTTTTAAAGATGGCGGCTGCTTGAGTAATCGTGGTAAGAGGAATGTATGGAAAACCATTCCCGCGCCATTTTTGTTTTATCTACGGTTCCACGCGTCGACTACTCGAGTTATTAGTGTTTACTTTGCAAATTAAATGCAATTTTAAAGCTGTATTACATCGATGAAAGTGATTATTCACAGCTAAAGGGGGTTCCCGAAAAATTCACATTTTTGAAATTTTATAAAAGAAAAACTACTGAAGATATCAAGTTTAAACTTTGTACCGTTATTTATACGTATCTTACGAAGTTACTTGAATTTTTTCATTTGAGAATGTGTAATAGTTTTAAAGATGGCGGCTGCTTGAGTAATCGTGGTAAGAGAAATGTATGGAAAACCATTCCGCGCCATTTTTGTTTTATCTACGGTTCCACGCGTCGACTACTCGAGTTATTAGCGTTTACTTTGCAAATTAAATGCAATTTCAAAGCTGTGTTTCGTCGATGAAAGTGATTATTCATCGCTTAAGGGGGTTCCCGAAAAATTCACATTTTTGAAATTTTATAAAAGGAAAAATACTGAAGATATTAGATTTAAACTTAGCACCGTTATTTATACGTATCTCACGAAGTTACTTGAATTTTTTCATCTGAGAATGTGTAATAGTTTTAAAGATGGCGGCTGCTTGAGTAGTCGTGGTAAGAGGAATGTATGGAAAACCATTCCGCGCCATTTTTGTTTTATCTACGGTTCCACGCGTCGACTACTCGAGTTATTAGCCTTTACTTTGCAAATTAAAAGCAATTTTAAAGCTGAGTTTCGTCGATGAAAGTGATTATTCATCGCTTAAGGGGGTTCCCGAAAAATTCACATTTTTAAATTTTATAAAAGAAAAACTACTGAAGATATCAAGTTTAAACTTTGCAGTGTTATTTATACGTATCTCACGAAGTTACTTGAATTTT